GGTGATAAAAGACGACACCGACGTGTGTCGTGGTCTTGGTCGTCTTCCCTTTTCTCCATATTGTGCCGATTTGCTTGGCGTGATGTATCCATCCTACGTACTTTCACTTTCCACCCCACGCCACCCCACCCCTCCCTTTTTCCTCTTTTTCTCTTCTTCTTTTTTTTGGAGAAAAAAATAAATATTTTGCTCCCCCCAGACAAGTGCGTGCATAGCTCATGTTAATAACATTCACATTGCATTGGACAGTATCATTATTGCTCATCAAACCGTTCGTTACGTACGATGTTCATCAAGCTGTTTTCTTTCCCCAAAATATTTTGGCTCCTCGCAATTTCGACTTGCCCGAATTTACACGTATCCTTTTGCATTTTAATTAGAGCATATGCCGTCGGTGTAAAAGAAGATTTACGCGGGCGGTACTCTGCGCCATTGATCGAATCGATTGATTAGAGAAACTGTGGCTATACTCCTTGAATCAGGGCTGATTTAGCGTTGTTTCGATGCTTTTGAAAGTCAAGTGGGGATGATGCTTTTGCTCCCTCATTTCAATACAAGCAATGCTTGTAACGTGACATGGAGAGGGTAGGCATTTGCAAAGGTAGTTGAATATTACCTAGCAAGGCAAGAAGATGTTAATTGGCTTGACCTTTTGCCGGGTTAACTTTGACAATGGCTCAACTTTATGCCCAGGAATATAATAGCAAGGGTAAGCGAAAGTCAATCGTTTGTCTCCAGAAAAATTAAGGCAATTTGGCTTTTTGATCAGGTGGGTCTCACATAAGATCCGGAAGATTTGGCCATTGCGAGTGAAAAAAATGAGTTAGGTTTATATCGTCTCCTCCAAGAGCAAAAGCGGGGAATAATTGTCTAAAAAGGCTTAAACATATTGTGTGGTGGCCAATACAGTCACAAAGTTTTCAATTATGTTAATTCAGTTCTAAACATTTTGACGATTTGTGAATTTAGTCATAAATCTTTAAAAAAATTTACCAATTCAGTTCTAAACCTATTATTGAATAACTGGCCGGACTACATTGACAAATCGCCAAATGGTTTAGGATTAAATTGGCAAATCGTAAAAAGTTTCAGGACTGAATTAACGCGATTGGAAACTTTATGACTGAATTGTTGAATCGTCAAAAAGTTTAGGACTAAATTGGCACACCTCTCCCTACAATGAAGCCCCACGTGGTTTAAGCATTCGCCTTTGCCAAGGGCGGGGCGGGGCTCGGCTCGTGTAGCGGTGATGGCACAGCTCCCATCACTGAGCGAAGGGTCGGGTCGGGTGGTACCTTGCGACCATCACACGAGAGGGTCAACTGATGCTGTGGGGAATCTTCAAAAGCCCCGAGAGGCACGGGGGCGTCGCAGCACCAGTGCTAGAGAAGCTTCAGATTCTTCCGCCACGGCAATGGAGAAGCATCTTGACCTTTATCACCTCTCTCTCTCTCTCCCAATCCCATCGCCTCACGCAACGCAATCAATCATTTTTTTTGGCTATCTCCACGCTCCCCTCCCTCCCTCGGTCAAGCCTGATCTCCGAAGCCAACGGGCAGCCGTGATTTTCTCAGCATCGATCGATCGATGGCGACATTTCCATTTCCATTTTCTGCTTTTCTTTTTTTTTCGTGTTGGTGTGTGTGTGCGTGCGTGTGTGTGTGTGCGTGTGTGTGGGCGTTGAAGAGTCGCGGTCCGAAGTTGTAACGATCCGGAGATCACATCGACGCGCGCTGTTATGCTGCCCTTCTTGTCAATTGTCCCGAATCATTCCGCAAGTTCGTTAGGGATCTATATATGAACTTTTGGGAGACATAATAATCGAACTCGGATATTTTTATCATGAATTCGGTCACCTCATATCGTATCACGTACGCCGGGCTCTGTTTCTTGACGGTCTGAGTAATTCCGCGAAATTATTTCCCATGATGGTGTCTGAACACGTGTCAACGGTTTAAGTCCGTGTGTTCCCCTATGATGTTTCACCTCGTCTTTCCCATCCGTTCGATGCGATTAGGGGTAAAATAATTCTCGGCATGGCATAATGATAATGCCCGAGATTGACGAAAATTCACTGAAGAGAATTCGAACCCGACATGACACGATTAATTCGAAAACCGACGCTTGACTTGGCCCATTTTCTCACACCTCTAATGAAGAACGTGTTGTCATGATTGTTGATAAAGGCACGGAGACGGCACAACACAGTGGTCAAGTCACAAATGAGATTGCATTTATATTATGCCTTTCAACGTACAACTTGTAGCTCATAAGTGATGGAGGAGGGCGTTTTAGAAATGCTCTCGAATTATCCGTTGTGATCCCGTGCCTTGATAAATTTACAGGAGAACGGTTTCCTAAGGAATGGAATGGCGATAATCAGTTTGATATAATCTATTATTTTTGTTTATGCAGAGTATTATAATTAGGTCTATGAGGCATTAATACTGCTCACATCCAAAGTCAAGTATGGTATGATCACTGGTGCCCCGTCAGACTGCACCCTATCGAAAGTATATGCTTTTGTAATGCGGCGGAACTCCGATCTTCATCAATTTACGTCAGGACCTAGAGATAGCTTTGATAGTTTGATGAGTGCACGTCACCGAAACGACTCAAAACTTTAAAATGCGATTGTTCACCGAAAACATCATCCGATGATAACACACGTAAGCCATTGCTAGCAGCGCACGTTACGTGGATGTCTTGTCCTGAAACAAGACAGGAACCAGTATTAGGGGCGTGCATTGGTCCAGGCCCAATCGAGGAACAGGACTGGACGAGACCGAACCAGCTGGTTCTGAGTGATTCCTGCGAGAGTCGGTCTAGTTTTCGGTTCATTGGGAGGAACCGAACCGAAGCGTACAGACTAGACCAGCTCAGGACATAATACTTTTTTATTCGGCAAGGGCAAAAAGTATAATAACATCGCCGGTTACCGGTTCTAAGGTGGATAGGGTCGGTTCCTGATTCCACAGACTGGATACCAACCATGTCCGGCTCGATTCCCAGTTCCTAAGTGCCCACCGACCCACCCTGGAAGTTGAAACCAATCACCCTATGCGGTGTTATAAAAATTGACAACATGAACTAAGGATGGATAACCAAAGCCAAGATTCACAAGGCATGACCTTTACCCTCTTCAATCTTCAAGGCAAAGTTGAGAAAAAGAAGAATAGAAATCAAGGTGTGGTGATACTTGTTGAAATATCCCGCATTGCTTTAACTATAGGGTTTCTATGCTTTTTATATACATGCGATCTCTCTTCACATATCAGTTTAAGTTTTTGGATTAAACTTTTTGATATGGTATCGGAGTTAGGTATTTTCTAATAAAGTTACTTATAATATTTGTAACAATAGCAAGCACGCTGACCTTATCTTTGCAGGTGATGATAATTAATTGAGAAATCTAATAGCATAATGCATTATCTCTTATATCGGGTGGATCCTAGTGATTCCAATCTCACTTAAGGGTCGGTCCGCCATTCAGTCCATACGGAAAAGATGAGAGACAGCGAGAGAGAAAGTTGGAGTGGAATCGAATCGAGTCGCGAAATAAACGCCCTGCGGATCATTATAAAAGAGTAAGGACAACCTAAAGAAAGAGGAGAAGCTTAGGATTGTGACTAATGCCTCCAAGATATTCGATATATGTCCACATCAAATCAAGCCCCTCCCGTCTTCCAATTGGAGGGACCCCTCTTTCTCTCTCTATCTTGCATTATCAAGAGACATTCTAAAAAGTTGCCTTTGCCCTAGCTTTCTAAAGTAGCACCTTAATGTAGACATTGGGTGACCCATATCTTCTCCAATCCCCCACAAACATGTACATGTAAGCTAATGTCTTTTTTTTTTTTTTTTAACCGCCGGGGGTTTACCCCAGTGGCCACCCTTCTCACTTGAGAAGGGGGAGGTGGGGAGTTCGAATCCCCACCTTCGCAGGGGGTAGGGGTGGGGCCGCGTAGTTTAAGATGTGGGTTTCGACGCCCACGCCCTGCAAGAGGTGGGGCGCAAGTCTGAATGTGTATCGCGAGTGAGAGATAGAGTAGGACCGACCAAAAAAAAAAAAAAAAAAGCTAATGTCTTTTTAATTGAATGCACGACTCCTTGTTCTCCAATAGTTAATGCTCGTTTCTCATCACATGAAAAGTGCTTTCCTTATTGAATGGAGAATCCACGATGCATTTCATGTCAATGCTCGCTATTGATAATTCAAATGACTATAATATCTTTCTACTTCATGGGCAAGTGGAACAAACGTATAATTTACTTTTTGTATTCGAATTCACCTCCCGTGTGGGGGTGATTGGCAAGCGTGGTGCCCGAGAGGTTTATATTCGTTTGATTTTCACTCTATTGACATCTTTTCACTTTATGAATAAAAAAATAATAGCAACCTCGTCTTACTTTCTCTTGAGTGTCTCGGGGTTATCCAACACGAGCGACGTGAAAATTTCACATAGTGGCGATCGATCCGGTCCATATTTGCCATAATTAAGGATATCTTCTAAAAGATCAATCCTTAAGCCTAGAGGGTCAATGGATTGTAATACAAAAGCAAAAGGGCCTAGAAAGAATCACTCACCCTTATCCTTCCAATTAGCCTAAATGCCACTTCAAATTTACATTCAAATTCACCTTGTACGGGGTAATTGGTGAGGGTGGAGCCCGAGATAATTACTTTCACTTGATTTTCACTCTATTGACCGTCGTCTCACTTTCCAAGCAAGAGAATAAAGTGATTTTTTGCCAAATACTTTATCCAAAGTGTCCTACGATAAATGAGTGGTGATAACCAAAACTTACAATAATCACTATTACCACAGTTCATTGCATCACAATTATGGAAATATGTTCTTGAGGTCTCCAATAGATTAAAGGGTCAAAAGGGTGTAATCCAAAAAGATTAAAAGAAAGGGCCTAGAAAAAGAATCATTCATGCTTATCCTCCTTTGGCCTTGATGGGTAACCAAATTAAGCAAAAGTGAATGAGAAAAGAGAGGGAAAAGTCTCACTACTCCTGCAGTAATTATCCAAGTGTAAAAACATGAGGAGCATCATCATCACATTGCCCACCTTTTTTAACTCAATTTTCGCCCAACTTTTTTTTTAATCTTTTCTAATTCCCCTTTTTTGTCTGCATAAATTCATACAAAATGGAAAATCAAGGAAAAATTACAGTGATCTAAGAGATCATCAACCCACCTTTTCTTTCAGCCTACCTTTGACTACCAAGATCATGATTATACAACTTCCCTCCCTTTTTTAACAACATTTCAACATTAAGCATCCTATCTTCCCCCTTCTGCCTACTAAACCCTGAGTTTGCCATATCCTCCATGAACCCAACATGGCCACAACATCGAACTTCCCCATGGACGGTCACCATCCCAACCATGTCCAGTCTGCTCCAACTTCATATGCCCAGCAAAATGTAGTAGACGAGTGTTATGGGCAAAGCAATTAACATCCCGAATATGACCCTGAAATTTTGGAGACATAAGCCAAAACAGTAGTAAATCAAAGTTAGAACTCAGAATAGATTATTAAAGAAGAAAGTTTATTGTTTAAATTAAAGAGGCTATGATGAATTGAGTACTTACGCTGTGCTGAGAATGTCTGGGTGCACGCTGTACTCCTTGGCAAAGACGAAGGGGACAATCCCTTGTGGAAGAGCCGACTGTAATAATTTTTTCAAAGCAGTAAAAAAAAATTGTTAATTATTGCCCAAGATTTTTTTAATTTTTTTTTTGGGGTTTTGCTTTTTCAGTCATAATTTTGAAAAAGCTGCTAGTGGGACTAGGAATAATTATGACAGACGTGACTTTTTTTTTTAATGCTGGCAAGGTAGACGTGACTCGTTGCTTTTATAATTTCTCGAAAAACCCTTTTTTTATTTTCTCCCAGGCAATATTTTGGGAGAGAAAAGAAAAGAAAGATACCCCTTTTGTTTGGTTTTGCTTGTCAATTTCCTATGTCCAGCGAGAACTTTGCTATTGGCAGAAAACCATTAATTTAAGCAAGCCCTCTCCAACAAGAAAACCTCAAATGCAAGCTGCGGATGATGGGGTCGAGCTCTGCTACTTGAATGAGAAAACACCAAATATGGCAGACAAGAAAAAGGCAAAAAACTATTAAAAAAGCTTATCTGCAACTAAAGCTTCAATTTTTAGGGTGGCAATGTAGTTTTTGGAGCTTTCCCATCTAGCTAGCTCAATAAGCAAGCAAAAACAATAATGAAGAACAGCTAAAAGCAGCAGTTTTGGAGCTTATACCCAGTGAAGTAGGATTGGTAGTGTCAGAAGGAAGCAGACGAGAGAGAGAGAGAGAGAGAGTACTTGGACAATGGCAACGTGCAAGAGGACTCCTTTGAGGCCAACAGCGATGGAGGCAGCAGCCATGACAGCTGGTCCTGTGAGGAATCTCACGGCCATCGCAAAAGTTGCTACAGAATTCCCACATGCTATTATCCTCGGTTGCAATGCCATGAACAGCCCTACAAATTTAAATCAAATTACCGAAAGTAAGATCAGAACTTCATGACACTACACTCACACCTTTCATCATCACCACCTCCACCATCTTATATATATTAAAAAAAAAAAAGATCACACCACCTTTCTATTCGTTACACACCCACTTTTAGTATTTGTGCATACATCATGCAACATCAAGGTGTGTATAAGCCTAGTCCCATAGTCAATCTCGATTTGAATGTTGTTTGTTCTTGATTGATCAAGAAAAAAACCATCCTTATAGCCCATTCAAGCCTCGACCCTAATTGAGCGGTCAGGTATTTTCTCATTCGGACGTACGTTTTACTTAAATAGATAATTGAGATGATCATAAATTAAGCGGTTTATCAATTGCAAAATTGACACGGATAGCTGAATATGTCAAATTGGAATTAAGTCTACCTTGTCAACTAGAGTTCAAGAATTGTATTAGATTCACTTGATTTGAGAAGGATTGTCCACCTAAGCAAGATCTAAACATGGCTAAAGTAAAGTACGATGTGTTTTGTGCTGAGTGTGTGTCTAGTGAGTAAAGATACCAACAGCATTTGGTCAATGATCTCAGTGCACGCGCTTGTTTTTACTTTATTCAAATAATTTAATAGTGAGGTAATGCTAACAAAGTGAAATAAAAAGAAAAGAAGAGAAAAGAAAGCTGTTAAGAGAGAATTTATGTGGCAAGTACAAGTACTAAGTGTGGCGTGAGATACATATATATATATATACTGACCAAGACTGAACATGGCCATGCCAAGTCCTGCATCTGACAGTATTGAGATGGACTTTGCTATAATTGCAGGCATCACCAGATTCCACCTGAAAGTAAATGAAACCCCATTTAATGCAGGTCTTAGAATTTAGAACCTCAAAAAAAAAAAAAAGGACAGCAAGCAACAAAATGACCCGAAAGGAAACAGAAAAAGAAATGTGTTATCGAAGTGAAGAAGAGAGAAAATGAAATGACCTGAATGAGACCAAGGACCAAGTGAGGCCAATCAAGCTTGAGTATGTGTTGGGGTTCCTAATGAGCTTCCTCCACACCATGATCAGGATGAGCCTGGTCATTACACTGCTTGGAGGCATTGCCTTGGGCTTCCCGTCATCCACCTTCTCAGCCTCCTGGGTCATGTTCTCTCTGTTGCCGAAGCTGAACTCGTTCCTCTCCATGTAGTCTTCTTGATTCTCTCTCTGATTCTCCACTGCATAATTCACAAAGACACAGGAACTGTTTGTCAAGATGCACCGAAGAAAGAAAAAAAGTTTCTAAACTTAGGTAATGAAACTTTCGCTTACCTTTACCAGGAGAAACAGCCAGCCTCACGTCCTTTGATTCATTAGCTGCAAACTGATCATGGTTGTTATTTCCAAAAACGTCAGAAACTGGGGAAGCACTCGAGCTCCAGACAAACATGTGCAAATCCTTCCCACCATCTTCACCCTTTTGAGCCTGGCCATTAGGCTTCTTCACATTATTAGCGCCGCCGCCACCGCCGCCGCTTTTAGGCGAGAACATTCCCGGGTTTGGGGCTGGGTAGTGAGCACCGCCACCCTGGCCATGATAGTGGAACCTCGGTTTGTTCCCACCCTCTTCCTCGTAATTTGATGGCCTTGGCGTGGGACCACGCGATGCCGAGAGCCCGTAAACGTCGGCCGAGCCAAAGTTGGAGCTCCGTTGGCCGGCCATCATGGAATAGAAGTCAGTGTGGTTGAAGCTGGACCCTCTCGGGGTGGGGTTCCTCGAGGACTGGAGCGAGTAAATCTCTGCATTGGTCAGGTTCGATGGCCTAGGGGTGGTCGAGGACAGGCCTTGTGACCTCCTGGAGAAGACGTCTGACCTTGAAGCATTGGACCTCCTCACTGTCACATGGAGCTTCCCGTCTTCCTTGACCTCGGCCTCCGTCTCCAAGGGCTGTCTTCCATCCAACGACATGATATCGGAGTCGACATGGATCGATACTATCGACCCTGCCGTGTCCGGGAACTGCTCGGAGATGAGCATCCTTGCACCTCGGTACTCGAACATGAAGAGCATCAAAGTGTACCAGATGATGCACTGAAGCACCACAATCTGGACCATGAGGCTCCCCGAGAAGTCCCCATACATGCCCTTGAGCAAAGGAATGCCCATAACCAGCGTGTTAGGCAGAGTCGACAGAGAGAACAGCGTGATAGTCCACTCCAACGAGCCTCTCTTGCTCACCTTAGCCCACACGAAGAGGACCACCAAGACGATGACTTTCTGCAGCGTGTCAGCTGCTATGAACTTGAAGTTCATGGTGTAAGGGTCGTTGGTTGAGATGAAGTGGAAGGAGAGGAGAGGGACCGCGAACAAGGCCACGAACCGGTTGATCCCGGAGCACTGGTCCGGCGTGAAGATCTTCCACCACTTGACCGAGCCATAGGCCAGGATCATGGCCACGTAGAGTGGAACCATGGAGGTCATCACGTGGTAAAAGTCGGTTGGCGTGATCATCTCTGCTGCTCCTCAGTTAGCACCCTGAGTTTGGCTGAGAGATCGATGGAGGGGTCTGCAAAATGGGTTTGGAGAAGAAGAGCTGAAGAGGGAGGAGGAGGAGGAGGAGGAGACGTTGGTGGTGGTGGTGGTGGTAGTGATGATGAGGAGTGACTTGAAAAGTGGGAGAGAGCATGTGTTTTGGTTCTTGAGCTTTGGGAGTAATAAGGCAGAGAATAGTGCAGAGTCTCTACCCCTTTTTATTTCTTTTTCTTTACCCTAATTTTTTTTTTTTTGGGTTGCACTATACTATAAAGCTTTGAGAGTTGCAAAGCAAGCTTGCACTTGCAGACCCCAAAGCATGGCTTCAGAGTTTGCTTATTTATTTATTTTTTTCCGTTTCCGTTTTTTATTTTCCTATTTGTTTTGAGCTTTGTTTGGATTCGAGGTAAAAAGGGGATTTCTATTTAAATAATGCTAGGAATATGAGATTGATTTACGAATTTAATTTGCACCAAGTAACCTGATAAGTTTTAATAGGGTGTTAAATTAATTCATCATTCTAAATGTCCACTTACAATGGGCACGCAATTTGATATATCAACTTCGTAGATCAATTTTAAAATAAATGCTAGCATAGCCAAAGTGGACTAGCTCTGCCGGTAAGGTTCGAACGGGCAATCCTTTTTTGTGAGTGATCTGTAAATTCACTATAAGACCATTTAGGCATGTGTAACAAAAACAAATAGCTAACATCAATCTTTGTATAATTTTTTTTAAAAAAAAGTTTCCATTTTTTTTTTGCTGTCAATGGACCAATTGGCAGCAAAAGGTTTAGAGAGAAAAGATTTGATTGAGAAGAGAATATTGCGGATGGATTCACTCACCATGCATAAAGTACAAAAGGGACCATTTCCTTTTCTGTTCTACGGTTTTTTTCTGAACGGTGAATGGCTCAGTTCATTACTTTTTCTCTGGCCAGTCGAAACCGTCACTCCTTGTGAGGAAATTTGCCCAATTTTTAAAGTCTAATTTTTTTTTTATTTAACCTGTGGAAGAATTAGTTGAAGAGATGAAAATAGTCAGGCAACGCATTTAACAGCTCTGGTAAATTTGTCATGACAATCTGTCAAATAATCATATAAATTGGACATAGATGCAGACATGGTATGTATGACCAAACAATAAGTTATGCCTTTTCTAAAGAAATACATCCATCTCTCTCCAATATCCTTTCTCATGAGTACTGTAATTTCATCTAAGAGTTCCTCGCCTATTCATGGTGCTTTTGGAGTGCAAGGACACATTTTGGAATTGGAGCTTGAAAAGTGCAATAAAAGCAACCTTTCAGAGTGAAAAAACTAAAACAAAAGTTGACGCGAAAGCCGAAAGAATAGGGCAAGTAAATTTATAACCCTAATATAATTAAAAGAAGTGAGGGTACGGAGGTGAAAATTATGCGTTGCCTGGGGATAATCACGGTTACTAAAAAGAACGACCATAGAAATTAAGGTATAAGCTCAAGATTTCGGGCAAACATTTGAAATGGACTACTTGACATGTCTCGTTGAACTCACGAAACTTCATTTGGTTTTGGACACTTGGTGTGTCTTCAATTGTCCGATCTGAGCATGTCTCTCGAAAAAAACAAGATGATTACAAAGCCGGTGGGAATGACATAAGGGAACAATGAATTGGCGACATCGGTCGAGCATTGCTCCATACAACTACGTAAGTCGGAGACTTAGAGTCATCGACTGCAATGGTCTAAATGGATGCGAATGCATACATCACGGTGCATGTAACAATGTCACCTACACGTCATTTTACCTTATATGATCTTATATCTCTATCAAGGTAGGCGTATAAAGCATGGTGGACATCGACCAAACGCTGAGGAGGAGCCGTGGGATATGCTTAGCGGCCTTAATAGTGGACTAATTGCCTCAATAGTGGACTAATTGCCTCAATTAGGGAACACTGCCTAAAAGGCCTATTGCCCCTCATTTGATTCAAGCCTAGGCGAATGATGTCAATGGCTGACCTCCATGCCTTCAAGAAAACCCCACCTCCTAGTTCACGGCTTTCAATTCCACGAACCCAATTCAGATTCTTTAATCAAAATTTCAATTTTTTGAACCCCACCCATCTACAACAATGGCAATACAAAACTGGACATATATTAGTCCCCAAGCGATTATTTTAGAATTAAACCCTAAAATCTGGTCTTGGGTAATCCTTAGTTTTCCCTTGTAGTGCTTAATAAAGGTTCATTATGTATCATATATATATATAGTGCAATTTGCACTAAATCTTGAGTTCAGATATAAAGTGGTGGAGGTACGGAGCACTAGCTACGTAGCTCTCTTTTTCCGTGAATAATTGAGCCTGCCCTAGCTTGTTTAGCAACCTAATTAAGGGGTCTTAATCAACACCAGACAGGGCAAATATTCTCAATCGATAATGTTTATTTGTCCCACGAAAAAAGTCTGAAACAACTTGCTTTGTTTTTTGGCTAAAGCCCTACTTTCGCTCCGCAGTACATGCTGACTCGTTTCTCTCTTCTCGCGCGCGCGCCTGCCATGGTGGGCAAAAGATAATCACCTTTGCCCAACCCTCAAACACACGAGCATCATGAGGTTTGTCAACGAAATCGGGCTAAACAATGATTTGGCTTAATTAAGCTCGGTCTCGTCATGATTATCTTCGATAATCAAATATCTTAGGATTGTCTCTTCTGCCCAAAGGATCGAGCGGAGCGAGACCGAGAAGAACTAAAGGTGTTGGAATGATGTTATTTGTGCTGATAATGTCGTTCATCATTAAAGCTCTTCATGAGGATTTACTATTCGTGCACGCAAATTGTTTTTCTTTCGATGCACACGAACACGACGCGCAAGTATTTCACGATCAAGAAAGGTGTAAATTCCGATGTTAATAAAGTCCTAAATTCCCATTTTTCATACTTCGAAAATACCATATATCTTATCCGGATTAAGTGAGAAACTCACCAACCAATTCATCGAAATCAAGCAAAAGCTATTGAGTTTTTCAGATACATAAAATATTTCTCCTTCTCTCAAATTGACCAAACCGAGGGGTGGGGGAGGGGGGACGAAACGAAAGTTCCTTCCATCTTCCCCTAGGGCGAGCCTCAAGAGTAGGGCACGCACGCTTTCTGAAATATTGAAAAGAAAAAAAGGAGCTGACATGTCGAGATATGATTGGCTCAAACCTTGGAAGAAGGGGAAACTATACAGCATGTAAGTATATATAATACATATTCCTTGAAGTCATAAAAACCACAAGAAAGCGTGCATTAAAGTTAATGATAATATAGGGTGGCGAGGAATGAAGGCGAAAGGAGACAAAGATTGGCGTGTCAGGTTCACGAACCCTCTTGGAATTCGAAACCCTAGACACCATAACCTCCCCTCCCTCTCTTCTTGTTTTACTTTGCACAGATTGCAAGAAGGGGTTTTGCGTTCTTCGAAGAGCGTGAAGGGCCGTGAACTTGGTTTCGGTTTTAATTTTTCCTGGGGTTCCTGGCTCTTTGTTTACCTTATCTCTTTTGCCAAACCCCACCAAACCCCAATCCTTATTTGTGAGTTCCATGGCTTGGGATTTCTATAAAGGTTTCTCTTTGGCATGTTGCTTCGAGGCTCTTCTGTTTATGAAAAGGGGGTGGCACATTCCCCTAATCCATTCTTGATTTTCAAATGAGATTTGAGTGTTTAGAATATACGCATTCATTCGTTAGTATAAACTGAGATATTTCCATCAAATTAGAGCAAGATCTTTTGGCCAGTTGATGTTCACACCCTAAATGACTATAACAACCCTATAATAAAGCCGAAATGCGACATATTATCACGAGTTTCGGGGTAATAATGCACACTAAAAGTAGAAAGATATTCATTAAATACAATACGGATTTGAATTTTTTTTATTCTTATTGAGAAAAATTGAACTTTTGAGGCACACGCCATGTGGGTGCATGATCACATGTGGATCAACGTATGGAGAGAAAAGATTTATTTTTTTCAAGGAATCGAGTATTTATCTAATTGAGTGGATGCGTAGTAGGTTGTTATTAAAGATGTGTGAATTGGATGGTTGCTAGATAAAGAAAGACGATAGTCTTAACATTTTGATGCATGGGTAATTTTGGAAGATGAAAAGTGAGGCAATGAGCGCTTTGGCTCGATAATATAGATATAGCCGTTCCGTCCACAAATTAGTTTCGCTACAAGCGGGTACACTAAATCACCACTACTCTACTACTTCCACTCCCACATTCCAAAAATTGCATGTCTCTCCTCCTCTAATTTTCCATCCATACAACAACAAATAATTGTGTAGATGTTTACTTTACTACTTCCACAATCCAAAGTATCAAGGGAAAATGACATAAAATGGTCCCTAAACTTTGACTCTATATGCAACGCGATCCCTAAACTTTTAAATAGTTTAATATGATTCCTGGACTTTTGGTACGTGTTCAATTTAGTCCCTGAATTGTATGAAAATGTTTAATAGTGTCTCTTGAATTAATGAAAGGATAAGATTGAACATTTTCACATAATTCATGAATTAAATTGAACATGTATCAAAAGTTCACGCATCACATTGAACAAATTAAAAGTTCAGGACATTTCATATTGAGACAAAATTCAGAGATCATCCGTGTTATTATCCCAGGTACAGAAGTAGTTCTAGTTGTAAAACTAATTTAAAGAGGGCTATTTCATACAAAAGTACATAAAGATAATCGCGCGCGTAGCGCATGCGCGAAAGCTAAAATAAACAAAGCCTAATGCGATACGAGAATTCATGTAACAAACCCTACTTCGTTAGGGGAAAAGGGTCTTTTGTTGTTGTCGAAGCACGAGGGCGATGTGATTGCGGGCTCAGAGTAGCGCTAATATTTTATTCTTCGCACGTGCTGTTGTTTTTTCATTCGGGCCATGCACAAGTGCTACTGTTGAAAGGCAGACTTTCTTGATAGTAAAAGCGAAGAAGACAAAGGCATGTAGAGAGTTCTCCCTTTTTTCCTTTGTCCAAAAGCTACGGCGATTTTCAGTGGCTTTTCCACGTAACCAGTTTAGGCTCGTAAAGCTTTAAGAGTAAACGGTCGCGTAAGCAGCGGCGACTTTAGAGGATGATTTTGGACAGCAAATCCGATGATCGGGTGGTGATGAGAGCAATGAATCGAGGGTGTGAGAGATGGAGCGTCCTTGATGAGAGATAGAAGCGAGTAATTGCGAATTTGTGACAGGAGAGAGGGAGAGAGATGAGTCATTTGATCGGCACCCGAGATTCAATGTCCAACATGTGATCACAAGACTAGATGGAATGCCGCAAGAACACAAACATTGCTGACAGGGAATCGCATGAAATATCGATCTCCTTGACGTCGGGGCTGGGATTGCGAAAAGGGCTGCAACAGTTAATAGCTTAACACCAGTACAAGGAAAGGGGTGCTAACCTGGCCATAAATGTTCAAAGCTTGACCCTTGGATAACACAGAAAAGCAGAACCTAATGGCAACTCTTTCTTGTGTGGCGAATGACAGAAAGACGGACGACGGTATATGGCCGGAGAAGAGAAAGGTGTTCAAACTCTCGTTCCTGCTATTATCCAGATACAGGTAACAAATTCAAGTACATACAAGGCTGACCTTTTTTGGCCTTTCTATGAGTTCCCGCGAAACAATCCATCATAGAGATCCAATTACAAGAGGACGCCAAGCGGTCGAATGCTTGAACCTTACCTCGAAATAGTATGTCCCTCTAAAATCTCTCTATAGGCCCTTGGCGCCGGGCAGGTCGATCCACTGCAACTGGATTTCCACCTCTCCGCATTCGACATTTTTTAGTCTGAGGCACATGTCCTGGATGATCCTCCCTTCGCTCCATACGATGCAGCTCTCCTCAGAGAGGCAGTTCTTCCTACACGGCTGTACCCTGGATATTATGGTGCCGCTCGGGAGACCTTGCAGGTCCATCCTCAGGGCATCTATGAATGCTTTAATGCCAAACTCCGCATCCCCCATTTTGTCGTCCTTGCTGAATGTGTCGTGATCGTAAACCGTCTGAAAAATCAAGCAAAAAATGAGAGATGGATTAGGCCATAACCAATATTGACTCCAATATGTCCTGCGGACCACTTTTGTGCAGCTTAACCTGTTGTTCGACTTTTGTCAACTTTCAAATCGAGGAAAAGAGTAAGGATCTTTAAGAACTGCAATAGGGGTCAGGGAGGTTACAGATTTTTTATAGCATTGCATGATTATTTGACCACAAGGTATTGTTCTTACGGCATTTCATGCGAACCTGTCTAGTAGCTACTCATCATTAAGGCATTTATAAGAAGAGCACAGCAAATGCCAAATACTCAATCATAGAAAAAGAAAGAGGCAAGGATGTATCAACAGTTATGCTGTCCGATGAGGTTCTTTTAGTGGCATCTACAAGTTTCTTGATGTCGCATGTTTCAATTTGTTGGAACATATTGGTTCTAAGTTCTACCTCTTAAGAGCGCCGTGCAGACTAAACTGATCATCTAATGAAGATTAATGTGGATTCTTTCATCATACGTCTTCACTCTTGTCAACATTATATAACAAGATGGAGAAGCATGCGTAACAAAAGATGCAGATGGCCGGGCTTCTGCGCTCGTGCCCCTGGAGTATTCAAATAAGAAAAATTGCAGATGAGTTTGTCCATAGCTGTTTGCAAGTGTCCTTATATCGTGTCAAAAACTGGACCACATCGAGTCTCATGTGAATAAGAGCAACAAATCGGAAAAGCAAAAGGCAAATTGACTACTCGATCTGTTCCCAGCCACATTTCATTTGCAATTAAAAGTTTAAACAACCACTAGTTCATATCTTTTAAACAATAAATCAACAACATATACAAGTCATCAAAACCGTTGGCATGAGTCTTTCAACTTCAGACCGCACAATTTCATTGGAAATTCTGAGAAAACCGGTCTGGTCTCGTGTAATGTAATTTGGAGCCACTAGCCATGAGTCTTACCAGTTTGACAGGAATATCAGGATCTGAAACAGAGAGAGTAAGATCTTCATTCCACTCTGGATTAATATCCTTCTTGATTACACGAGTTTTCAGTTTCTGCATGGAAACATTTTTCCTCAGACGAATATGTAAAGGGCATCGATAACAAAAGAACGAATGCATTCAGACAATATGAAGCGTACTACTCAAATCACAAGCCTTCTGCTTCACATTCGGGCCATACATTCCCATACGAATTCTCGTCTTTCTTAACCTATAACACTGAACAAAATTACTTTCTGACGTGTTAATTTACGACAAGTCAACGAGGATACTACCTCATTCACACGAACATAATTGGCATGCAATGGAATGCAATTCAAAATGCGAAATTAAGAGAAGAGAAGGGAGAAAATTAACGGTAACAGCACCTGTTTACCCATCTTGATGACAATGTAGGGGTCGCTGGTGCGAACATCTCGGACGGCGAGATTAATACCCCGCCGGACGCGGATCCTGAGAAGACCCAGCAAGGTCTCCATGAGAGATGTTCCTGAGGAAGGTGGTGTTGTTGGGGACGACGACATTCTCTCTCTCTCCCCTTCCCTTCCTTACATACTTCCCAAGGATCTCCCTACAAAAGGGCGCTGAACAAGATTGATCTTTTTTTATGTGGGAGTGAAACAGAAATCATCAAGATACATAAGACATGAACGGGAAATGTGAAAACAGACGAAAGCTTGTCTCTACCTTAATATTCCTTTTATTTTAAAGCAAGGAACTGAATACCTGTAAGGTGCGATCAATGGTGGGCTGTTTCTTGAGGGTTGGTTGGAGAAGACAAACACCACCCACCCTCGTTCTTGAGGTGGATTGAGCAGGCTTAACGATGGGGAGAAATGGCTGTAAGCTTCCTGATAAAGTTTACCAGAGAGAGAGAGAGAGAGACAGGCAGAGAGGAGGACCGAAATTCCTGGGAAAGAAGAAGAGGAACAATCGGATGACAGTTATCTTGTGTGTTTTGAGTGGATATAGAGTTTGATTGGAAGTAATGCAGCGCGAAGCGGACGATTGCTATATTTGGTTTTTTGCTAAACAGATTATCAATTCAAATTGTTCACTTTCATCTACTTTATGCGACGGAGATTATTCCACAACAAAGGAATATACAATAAAAGTGAGTTAGGGCCGTTTGGTAACGTCTTACGAAACGGTAAAATTTTGTTTCTTTTGTTCCCAGTAAATAGTTTGGGAACAAATGCGTTTAGTAAATTTTTGTTCCGGGCACATTTTGCAAAATTTATGCCAGTAAAGCTGTGATTTTGGAAGAGAAGCAAAGAAGTAAATCTCGGCACAATTTTGAGAATCGGTTTTTTTTTTTTTTTTTTTTTTTTTTTTTTTTTTTTTGTTTTTTTTTTTGGGGGGGGGGCCCGCCCCGGCCGGGGGGGATGCCCGGCCAGGCGACGAGGGCGTCACGGCCCTCGCTAGCCCGAGGAGGTGTGCAAAAGAACTATCCATGACCATCGGTCCGGTTCCTTGTCGCAATAAATTGAACTGCGATGGCCAAAGAAGAAAGGATAGAAAGAAAAAAAAAAAAGAAAAAAATATTAAATAATTTGAAATATTATTAATAAAAGAAATTTTGTGTAGTTCAAACGTATTTTCTTTTCTATCGGAATAGAAATTTTTATTCCAAATACTAATCTTAGAAATTGTTTTGGAAAAAAACATTCGAGTAGAAATAGTTAGCTGAACTTGTTGCCTAGAGTGTGCAAAGAACCATACTTGATCGAGACGCTCGACCGGACTAGCCGACGGTCTGGCGTTCATGACCATCGGTCATAAACCGTTGATTCGTTGTGTAGAATCAACCACTCAGGCCACTATATACATTTTTTATGTTTCAAAACTCATTAATAATTAGAGCTCTATTTCACGTGCCCCCAATTCACGCTCCTCGATCAAACATGTCCCTTGCATCGCCATTTCCCGAGGACTTGAGGGAGTTTTTACAGTTTTCTCTCAATTCTTGAAAACTCAAAGAGTAGAATGTTGCTTCGCACTTGCAGGTCCAGAGAGCTACGCAACGACAGCCTCCATTTTCACGTCCTCTCGCACTGTAAGTCCCACCCTCATCTGCACGCTTCGATTCCCAGCCTCCTAGAACAGTGGACATGGTCGGTTCCATAAACCCACCTAAGAACTAAACTGGACTTGCGATCCGATTCCTAGGTGAGTCCAGGACCCAACAGGCAATTTCCAATTCCATAATTGTGGAACCGGTTCTTAGTGTGTGGTTCCCGGCTCCAGGGTGGGAACATGCTCCAGGGTGGGAACGACCCACCTTAAAACCGATCACCTCTAGAAATAAGACAATACTTTATCTAATAAGTATATATAGTATTTTTTTTTAAAATATTCAGGCAAACAATTATACTTATGTATCTCTTTCTTTCTTCTTTTTCCTTAATAGATTGAAATATAATAAAATTTATAATTATGTTAATTATTCACTTCCAGCAAAAAAAACTGGCAATAGTGCTTGAAATTGATACGAAAACTTAGGGCACGCATGGAATCCATTCGGAGTAGAAATTTTGCTCGAATGCATTCAGAGCAAATGCGTTTGTTAAAAATTTCGGAATGCATTCGGCAATTTTTGTATTCGGAATAAAAATGCGTTTGTTAAAAATACTTGATTCCGAATGCGTTTTTATTTCGGAATGCGTTTTGGGCAAGAAAAAGAGAAGCTACTTTTTGTAGCTTCCTCTTCTAGAATGCATTCTCCCTATTTTCTTTCTTTTTCTCACTAATTTTTTTTTGGAAAATGCATAAAAATTGAAAAATTCTAGAAAAATTCATAAAAATTTCAGAAAATAAAAAAAGTCAGATTTCGGGAAATTAGGAAATTTGGTGAATTTTTTCAAAAAATATAAAAAATCAAAATTTTCAAAACTTCACAAATGGCTTAGAATACCTTTGGACACCCACTTTGAGTGAAATTTAATTTTTGAGGTGACCAAAAAAATCAAAAAATCAAAAATTTCAAAACTTTACAAAATGGCTTAGAATGCCTTTGGGCACCCACTTTGAGTGAAATTTATTTTTGGAGGTGCAAAAAATAAAAAAATAAAAATAGAGATTTCTGTTTATCAACATTTTCAAAATCATTTCTCAAATAGTGCCTGAAATTGATACGAAAACTTGGAGCCGGTGCATCTTTTGGACAAGTTTCCAAACTTGGGGCCAAAATGGATAAAAATACGCAAATTCAGGGACTTTTGTGAAAAATAGGCCCGAATATAAAACGCCTCTTTCCCGCGCTTTCTGCACCATCCTCCTCCGACGACGATGAGAACCACCGCATCGTCTCATCGGAGCTCGACGGGAGGCGATCGATGGAGGAGCCATGGGAGGCGCTCGACGTCGACGACTCCGACCTCTCCAGCTTCCGACGCCCTCCCAAGCGCCGCCAAACCCTAATCGATCCCCCGATTTCCTCATCGGTCCTCCGGCCCTGCTCCCACCGCTCCTCCCAACCCCCGTCGCAGCATCCCGGCCCGCAAACCCTAGTTTCCCAGGCCCCTCGATCCCCCGACCCGGACCCGGCCTCCCTCCCTCCTCTGGAGCCTCCGCCGCGAAGGGAAGGAGCGGAGGGCGAGCGGAGGATACCGGGACCGGCGGGAGCACTTCGGGCGGCGATGCGGCGGCGAGCGAGGAGGCTTGAGGAGGGTTTTCCGAGAGGTGGAGGCGAGGAGGAGGAGGACGCGACTGCGGTTCCTACGCAGGAGTATATAAGGAGGGCTCTGGAGGATGGGGATGAGGACGATGGGGATTTCACGCTCGATCCATGGGTTTGTGCGGTGGAATTCGTGCGGCGACAAGGTATTGAGGTTATGGCGTCGAGTGAACGGGGGGCTTTTTGACTGACCGTTTTGAGATTGTGACTCGACGATTTTTGTGTGTTTGGATTTGTGTTTTCCGGTTGTTGGATGGCGAGTTTGTAATGCTTTGGCTGGTTGATTCTATTGTTAGGGTTGGTGGATGGTGATGGTGTGGCCATTGGGACGCCTTTGTGCTCCATTAAGAGAGGAACTACTGCCCCTGATAAAGTGTCACAGGTCTTTAGATTCTTTATGCAACTTCAATTGCTGAGATGAATGCGGGGATCTTCGTCTAGATAAATGCGGTAATTTACCAATGATAAATGGAGGAGAACGGAGCAAGGAATAGCTATTCGACAATTTGCTTGATTTGGCTACTGGCTTGTTTTAGCAAATGGAGTAGAAGAATTTGACTATGTCAAAATCGGGGCATAACAGGATACCGGAAACACACCTACCCAATCCTAGTCCCAATGCATAGCGAATCTCAGAACTCGCAAATGGAAAGTACATTCTTTGTAAAATCTAAGAGACATTTTGGAAGTACTATGGAGACTGGTCTTTTGATTTCTGGTGAAAAGTGAAAACAGAAATTTCAAGCAGACTGCTGTCATTCCTTTCATATATTGTGGAGAGGAGATTTACAGACAGCTGCGTCAAGTATCATTTGGCTAATTCTTTAACAAGTTGGAATTGTAATCTGTCTGATTGTTGTTTGCATGTGATTAGGTCGTTGCAATTGTCAAATCTTGCACCCCAAATGGCCTTGGTGATATGATGGTGACGCTTAAGGTATACCCAGTGCGTACTACTTAAATTGATGTGCTTTTCAGTGTACTCGGGACGGCTTCTAGGCAGAATACAGAACTTATGAACGTGATGTTGAAAATTTCAGGATCCAACTGGAACAGTTGGTGCTACTATTCATCGCAAAGTTCTGAGAGAGAAGGGTTTTGCGAAGGAGATATCTGTTGGTGCAGTTTTAATTCTTCAAAAGGTTCTACCGATCTCATTAGCGAAAAATTTAAACTGGTGTTACTAATATGTTATTTGATTTTCTTGATTGCAAGACAATCACTCATTACATGCTTTAATATATGCTAGTTAGATGGAGCTTTTTGATTCTCGAGTTTCTTTAATTTTCATGTTTCTGATTCCTTTGCTAAGGAGCTCATTGAGGTGCTTTGTTTCAGGTTGCAGTGTTTTCACCTTCACGCTGCACGTGCTATCTGAACATAACTTCGAATAACATCATAAAGGTATGCTAACTCAGCATGTGTCTGGAATCTATATGGCATAATGAGCATCTTGTTAACATGATTTTCTTTTATGTCTTGAGTCACGATATCCCCTGGTTGTTGCCACTCTTAGTTCATGTGGTAGATTGTGGACCACTTGGGGAGAGTGCTTGCCGGATCTTGGCTATCTTATTACTGACAACAAACTTTCAATCTGAATTAACAAGTTCCAAAGACCTTGTGAAAATTGATGTGCAATTTTTCAAAAACTTAGACAAAAAAAATACTGCAGGTCATCGCTAAGGACAGTGGACCTCCATCAAAAGAGAATTGTTCTCCCCCAGCTAAAGAACGTTCTTCTAGTTTGGGTAGGTCTTCAGTCTCATATGCTCTATTGGTAGATACAAAACTTCCTTTTAAGTTCTTGAAGCATTTTAAAACATCTATTGTTTGACTGATGAAGACTTGGGTTGGCAGAGACTTGGGAGAAATCCAGCACGCAAGAGAAAGCATCGTCCCAGTTAAAGGGGAGAATAGAGGGAATCTTGAGTAGTTTAAAGCAAGCTACTAATACGGAAGAGAGAACAGTTGGTTATCCGCAGTATGAACAGTGTGGAGGGGTACAAGGGACTGGCTCTTGCAGTGACCAAACTAGCAGAAACCATGACGTTTCTTTGGTAAACGAACCGTCACCAGCTGCACATGATGAGATAAGCCAATTTAGGGCAGCTAGGAATGGTGAGACTATGGATTGTTCTACATCAGAAAACACCAAGTGCAACGACAGCAGGTCGGGCATTGCGGAAGTTTCTGATGATAAAGACGGCGTTACTGTAGATGGAATGAGGAAGCAGAAGCAGAAGCAGCCTAGTTCAAGAACTTCACTCCTGCAGTGGACTGATGAACAACTAGAGGAGCTCATGGACTGCGAGTGAGGACAAACATACTCAAAGATCCTTTATGCTTGGCTTACAACATGGCAATGGACAAGACGAATTGCTTCTTCGGTGAGTTGAAGATTTTTGTTTGCTCTATTCGTTTTTTCCCCTTACCCTCAATGTAGAGCATCACTTCATTTTTCCTAATCTGGATGAATCCATCCAGACATCACTCACTTTTGTATGGCCGTCCACCTGTTTTCTGGTCATTTAGGGGAAAACACAGAGTCACTTTTTCACGTCTACAGATGGAAACGATGCACGTCCTTAAGATGAAAATCTTGTGGTTATTCACACAAAAGCTTTTCAATTAGATGATTGTCTCTAGGAAGATCGTCAACATCGGAAGGTTGATGGTTCCTTGAGAATGAGAAACTTAATACTGAGACTATAGGAATGTGAAGAACATATCGTCCAGTTTCTTGAGATTCTTATTTTAGCATCAGCCCCACATGGCATAGGTATTCAGCAACTCGGAATTACACACTTGATTGTGCTGATTCATTTCGACTCCCGAATGAACTCATCCGTCTCCCTAGAGCAAATAAATTCGTGACTGGGGGTTACGAGATTAGATACTTACGGCAGAGTAAAAATTAAATCCACCTTTAAAACAAGTGAAATTTATTCTAAATACTAGACAATGCATCAATCGGAAGAAGAAGAAAAGAAGAGAAAAGGAGGAGGAAGACGAGGCTGCTTGTGAAGATTTTAAAGAGGGGTGTTTGAACGTGGAGGCATCCGTCAGGATCTTCAATCCTGCGGAGTGCAGACCGCTTGACCATGATGGTCAAAATACAATGATGAAATTACAAATGAAAGGAGAAGTTTCTTATACAGTGCCGCGGATACGCCAGCACCGAAATACGATAGGGGGCGGGTAATTAATTAAGACGCAGTGAAGACAAGACACGAAGTTAATTAGCAAAAGGAGAGAAAGCTGTTCAATGATAATTTTGAGAAGTAGGCTCGTCAAATGATTGGGTCGGATAAAAAATGGTACTATCCAAATTGATTTATTTAACCCATCGACATGCAATACAAATTTAGCGATTCATACTCAACCTAGATTTATTTTGAACAATTTTCTCTTCAAATTGTTGCTTTTGAGAATGGGCAGCTCCATGGACTGACTTGTCGAGTTAGCAAAGAAGCTCGGGGTTTAAGTTATGGATGGGGGCGTGAAGGTGCTGTTGAAAATCCGAGTCAGACCATTCATAAATCATGAAACAAGTTCGACTCTTGATTAATCGCATTCAAATTCGAGATATTAAGGGTGCGCATGACAATGTTTCTATGCCGGGGAACTATTTCTACTCGAAATGGTTCTTTTATTCTATGCCTTGGAAACAATTTCTAAGCGCATTTAAAGGCGTTTGGTAAGCGTCCAAAATTTCTATGCCCGGGATAGAAAAGAACGAAATGCGCTTTGGTAAGCTACACAAAATTTCTTTTTATTAATAATATTTTGAATTGTTTAATTTTTTTCTTTCTACCCATTCTCTTCCTTGGCTATGGCCGGTCGCCGGTGATCGGCCATAGCCCGAGGCCAGCGAGGCGTCACGACCCTCCGGCCGCCGTGAAGATCTTAGCGAGGCCGAGGCCTCGCCGTCGCGACCCACGGCGGCTCGGCCTCGCACCGATCTGAGCGAGCCGACCTCGCCATGGACCAGACGACGAGCCGCCTCGCCCGGGCCGCGAGGTCCGGCCCTCGCCCTCGGCAGCAAGGGGACCCTCGCCTCCGCCGGCGAGGTCATGGCGCCCTCGCCGGCCTTGGGGCGTGGCCGGTCGCCGAGCCCTCGGTCGCCGCGGCGGCGGCAAGCCAGAGACCAAGACCGACAAACAAAAGAAGAAAACAAAAAAAGAAAAAAAAAAAAAAACTGAGTTCTCAAAATTGTCTTAGAAACAAGAATCAACTTTTTTATTTCTTGTTTCTCTTTCAAAGCATTTACGGGCACAAATTTTTGCAAAAATGTGCTCGGGAATAAAAAGTTTACCAAAGCATTTACGTTACTATTTTTGGGAATAAAAGAACAGAAATTTTCTTGTTTGGCCGCGTTCCAAGCAGACCTAAGCCTCCCCCATCGTCTTGAAGTCGAAGCTGCTAACTTCAAGTACACGTGGGACCTGCAGAACGTAACGCCGTTTCGGCACTTGAACCTCATGAGACCCATGTGCCACTTACGTACCTGCTCGGTACCGTTGCCACCGAAGTGGCCTCGCACTCGTCGATGGCCAACAGCAAGGGAAGCTGCGAACGAAGCTATCAAGATGGTGGGCGGTGAGGGAGAAGCTCGTGAGTCAAAGAGAGAAGAGAAAAAAAAATTACCTCCTTTAATTGGTGTGTTTAACAACTGGGGTTTGCCCTTATGGCCACCCTTCCTATTTTGAAAAAGGAAGGTAGGGAGTTCAAATCCACACCTTCTTGGGAGGAGGGATTTAGAGGTGGGAATGTGTAATTTTAGACGTGGATTTCGACTCCCACGCCCCACCTCTAGGGCGAAAGTCTGAGAATGAACGAAGCCATCAAGATCGCGGGCGGCGAGGGAGAAACTCGTGAGTTAGAGAGAGAAGAGAAAAAAAATTACCTCCTTTATTTGACGCGTTTGAGAACTCATTAAATGCGTTGAAAATGAGTGCATAACATAACGCATTTATATCCATTTACTACTTTTGGCCTTTTATTTTTAGGACCCAATATGGTTAAGTCCTCAAATTTAAGGTGACCTATTTATACAAACTTGGGTTAACAAATTGGGTCCAAGACCCATTTGACAGGTATGATTGAGAAGTAAGAAATAATGAGTTGAACAAACAAAGATCATGCCTCAAAGCTCGAATTACCAACTCAAATGTAGTATATCAAACAAAACAAAATTGGACCATACATACAAATTGGCTCGACAAGGACCAAGACCTGCTGACCAAGAATTCAAGAACTTGTATCCTCTTTTGACCTCTTGACTCTACCATGAGGGTGAAAAAATGGTTCTCTTTCCTACCTAGCACGCTGAATAGAATGTCGACATTCAAGATTAACTGATGAACCGTGCATGGGGGTGGCTGTATCAGTAAATTGGATTCCTTGATGCAAAACAGAACTGGTGCAGGATGCAAGATGAGAACCTCGCACTCAAAAATCCCAGAAGCTCGGCCAGACCAGTTTATGACTACAGAAAAAACTTCCTCAATCGCTCAGCAGAAAGTGACGCTCTTTTGTTTGTTGGTTCGAGAACAAGTGCATAGTTGAAGTCTGCAGAAAACAAAGAGGAAGAAACCTTTAGTCATCAGGACCGAGATGCGCTGCAACGTCAAAAACTAGCTAGCAATATGCCACGTAGTGTACTCTTGGTACTCAAATGGTATTGAGCATTTGATTATAGTGATTCAATATTCAGTTTTTTTAATGATCCTCCAAACTTGGCATGAACCAGCTATCGTGTTAAAAAGTGGCACATTCGATTTCTTTTCTTTTCGTTTTGCTGCAAAATTAAGAAATTAATTAGTCAAGTAACAAAATTTACCAGTTCAATCACATGTTATATTCCTCTAAGATCTACAATCCAACATTCCCATGAAATAAATATTATTTTACACTAAACTTTCGCCTTTTAGATTGACCAAAATTATTTAGACGAACACGTCAGTTTAAATAGCAGCCCATGTTTCCAAGGTTTTTACTCAATCAGCAATATTACAAATTGAACCTCATAAGATTCAGTTGCTTACCTTCAATTGCTTCCTTGTAGTAGCCAAGCATCTCTCTCGCTGTGCCTCGTCGTAAGTAGGCCTTTATGTTCTGGAGATTTTAGAAATAACCCAAAACTCAGGGACAGTTCTAAGACTCTTCAAGATGCAACCAGTAAAGTAATTGTCCATCTTAGTAAGATCTACACATGCATTCACACACAGGGGAACGAAAGAAATATAGAAAAGTCTCAGGGACAAGATAATTTATTCATATCCAAATTTATACAGGAAAAGACTCCAGGATCCCCGCTTGCTAAAAACCTAACTACCCGCGAAAATGATATTTTGTGCAAAATAACAATAATAATTTCTACTTTCCATTATATACGTCACCAGAGACTAATATGCAAGTTGGTCCACATTATAACTGCTCATCCTTTTATCCTGCTGTGGCTCTTTGGAAAGATCTAGACTCCCAGCACTGGAATAAAGGGAGCATGCTCCACAAGACGACCAATTTAAAGGACAAACTTGCATCAAAACCACCGAGTAGGACCAATTTAAATAACACAATTGGCCTGATTTTGTTTCCTTTCTGATGGAATTTCCTATGCCAGGTAAAAGGAGGGGGACAAAGTTTTCTCTAAGATGCCATTTTAGGAAACTCACTAACCCCTTAGATAAAACACCTGGATCAATAGCACATCAGTGTTCCAACTGATTCATTTCATCTCACATACTCCACAACTACATCATATGGACACTGCATCTCTCATCATTCTAACAGAAACATGAAAAGCAGGGCCTAAGACGTTACCACTGAGACTGACTGTTCTCAAGAAGAAGGTTACCTTTTTATCAAGACTGATGGCTTTTGTAGAATCTGCCTCTGCTTGAAGAAAACTGAAAATCAGAGAATTAAAAGTATCACTAGAACAGCAGTATCCTAAGAAATGACATATATATATTTATATTTATATATCGAAGCTCTAACATCAACCATGATGGTACCTTCCGAGTTCTAGATATGCTGCTGCCCTGTTACTGTAATATGTAGCATTATTGCCACTTAGCTTGATAGCTTCCGTATAAAAACTAATTGCCTTCTGCCACTGTTTTTCTTTAAAAGCTTGGTTTCCCTAGAGAGGACACAAGAGATGGTCAGATTCGAAATGAGAAACAGGAGGCACAAATGTAGATTCACATCAGAGTAGTCTGTTAGTCATCTTTCTCTATCACAATCATATTAATGCAAAGTTAATATTAAGCAAACATATAAACCAATATGTTTTTATACATATTACATCGTTGCCCAAAATTTTCAGTACTCAATTGTTCCAACAATCCCAAGAGAGAAGAATTGCACAAGAAAATTCGCTTCACAGTTACTCAAGTACAAAACCAGAAGTCATATATAAAACCCTTTGGGTTGACATCTTTACTATTCCTTTTCATTTTCCTTGCCTCTATCCTTAGCAAGAAGAAGCATTGATTCAAGAGTATCTTTCACTCATGATTTGAGACGATCTCACTCTTGCATTTCTCACAATCCATTCAAAGCTTGTAATGAAGGGAAAAAAGAAAACTCGAACTGACCTTCTCTTTTGCAATTTCAGCTGAGTCTTCCTGTGTGACAGCGTTTTTTGTCAGTTTTGACTTGCTGGCTATGTCAGCCTGTTCTTGCAAGGTTGCATACATGGCATTAACTGTGTCCAATAAAAATCGATCCCCCCCGTTCCTTGCTATGAGAGACACAGAGACAGGAGACTTGTCATGAAATCCCACTGGTACTGAGACCTAAACGAGAAAAGCAATTGAGAAAAGGTTTAAGCATACTAAAATAGTCTACGATTATAACAAAGCAATCTTTCTAATAGAAGCCAATTTAATATAGAAATAACTGGCCGCATAACATTCTTTAGGGTCAGACATTGTGAGTGAAGTAGTGTGGTCCTTAGCTAAGCCACAGAGAGAGAGAGAGAGAGATAACCTGACAGCAGCCAGACACGCTGGCAATACTCAACAAACTAAAAGCGCGGCTCTGGTAGTCTTCTGATTGCAGCTCTTTCGCCCCGAGTTTTGGAGGAGGGTCAGCAACGGTAGGAATAACCAGAATTCCATCATCCTTTACAATAATGAAGAAATAACAAAAGAAAAGAATTAAAGCAAACAAATACTACAAAATTGTTATTGCTAAAAGACGAGCTCATTTATGCTCTGTGAAGTAAAATAGCCTAATAAGTTCTTCAATAGCCCAACACAAGATGGATGAAAATTAGGAATCACAAGGTACAAGACAAAGTTTCGGTATAAATTCAAGGATGCCCATTTCTTTTAATGGATAACTGGTGCATGTCAAGAAAACAGCTTTCCGTACAGCGCAAGTAAAGCTGCACGCATTATAATTTGACTCCGCACAAACACCGATGTTTGGAGACTCATGCATTTGAATGTGCATTTCAATTACTTGAGAATCGGTCCAATGAAATATCTCACACATCTATGGTGAAATAAGGATTCTTCCACCAACTCAAAGAAAAGATAAAATCCTCGGGAATTTTAGATAGCTATCAAGAAAGATGAATTAAATTGTGTCCTATTAACAAGAGGCAGATTAAAAGGTAAAAAGCTCTTCTTTACCAGAGCAAATTTCAACGTTTGATGGCCTAAATATATATCAATTCTTTAACATGCAGACCAATAACAAAAGCAACTTTTGATACTTAAACATGCAGAAATCTAAAGGCGGTATTTTCTAGAATATAAATAAGTAATGGAATGTAATTTTTACATATGGCAGCATTCAAATATGAAGGCAATCTCTAAACAATTCAGTACTTACTTCGCAACAGGCTAAACTTCTCTTATAAATCCTCTTTGCTAAACACTTACACAAGTTTGGTAGGAGGGACCATGAGGGAAGGAAAAGGATTATAAAAGCACAATCATGTTGGATGGTGGGAAAAAGGAGGTAAAAATTCATTCTTATGTCCATTTTAACTCCCCTATCATTTACACCAAATAAATCACCATACAAAATGGCCAAGAATTTATATAACAGATAACGAAAGAACTAAACTTATTTATGCTTGTATCTGAATGATAGGCCGACGAACGTGAAGTAAATGGAAGCAACATGCAGCACAAAGACAGTCACTCTATTTAATATGACAGTTCAGAGTCCAAACCGGCAGGCTGAGTCATCTACCAGAAAATAAAAGCAACGACAGCTAAGCGACTTCCATGCATTCAATTCTCCATGTTTCAAGCATGTAAGCCCCTCACCTTCAACAGTGAGTTGATAGCTGATCGCAATTCATTCCTAATTAATCTGCAATTATCAACGTCCACTTCTGCTGCCTGTGGCGTGTTATGCAACTGCTTTGAGATGACAGCATCCAGAATAGGATTTGCAGAATGGATCCATTCTTCATGATTAGTAATGAACTCATGCCTGTGTTACACAAGGGGCCTACTAAGTTTAGGTACTTAATTTAATTACATTTCCCACATTTGCATTGCGAGGACAACTTGGTCTCACATTGTGAATCTACAAGGTTCCCACAGATGCCAATAAGCAATTCAACTCAAAAACAATACGAATCCACGCCCCTTTGAACCAAACTAACCTTTGAACAAACATCGCAACTTCTGCAAGATCTCTAATAGAAGACCTTTTCAATTCACCATTAGTTTTCTTGGCAGGAAATGCTTTCAAGCTAGGAACTTTAGAATTGAAATAGGACTCCAGATTTTCATGCTTCAAAATTTGCCCTAAAAAATATAAACTTAATTAAAATTCGTGGAAAAAACAAATCAATGAATCAAGAGGAACTTAAACCATTCTTCCGGTGTACTCACTTCCGTACAGCTTCTCCGTTGCTTTAACAACCACCTGAACAACCCTGTCTACAGAAATCTTTAACAACTGAAAACAATCCTCAGCTATTATCATCTGTCTCGGATTACGTTGAACTGCAAATGGAACTTGCAGCAGCACATGGCCAACTCGGCGCAGAATAGAAGGATCCTTCGCAAACCAGCCTGCAATAGCAATTTCACAGTAGTGCCAACAATGAGCCAATGAATTTGAAGAGAGAGAGAGACAGAGAGAGACAGAGAGAGCGGCAGTTTCATGATCTCATTACTTTTACAAGAGAGAGAGAGAGAGAGAGAGAGAGAGGCAGTTTCATGATCTCATTACTTTTACAACCGAAAATAATTTATACATGAACAATGCTCCGGGGAAAGCAAACCACTCTAATATCCTTCAATTCAGGTGTATAGAAAAGGTAAATGTTATAGTTCAGCTTTCTCGCTGGTCACACATGTCTTTACAATAGAATATAATCAACATATGTTGTCTCGCTAACCGACACTCCAGCCTATCTCTTAGGTAGGGCAACTCATTGAAAAGAATAAGACATTCCCACTCCTTGGTTCCCAAGTTCATAGTCATGTATGAGTTCTCTCCATCGAAAAAGTCATATATGCTGGTACCATGGACATCAAATGTAGGTATACACGTAGGTTGCAATTATCAGCACAAGGACACACGTACCCACTGTGTCCAAACTTGTCGAGACTGGTAGAACTCCCATGTTCGAAATAGTGCCATGTGATGATCTGAAGCCTATGACACCGCAATATCCTGCTGGCACTCTCACACCACCTATAGTATCAATACCTGCAGTGACCAACAAGCATTTGATGAAACTTATCCAACAAGTTGCATTTTCCAAATATATTTTCAGCAAAACATTATTTACAGCATAAGCATAAGCATAAGCATGCATGCCCATCTTAAGCAATTCAAACTTGTAACTCCCCAATGGATTTTGCTAATCGCTCTTACATTCGTTACCGAAACCAATTGCCAGATTAAAAGTGAAATGAGTGAATGGCATCAAGCATAAAAATAGCTAATGCCCCTGCAAAAGACAAACAAATGGAAAGGCGGATGCAAGACATCAATAAGAATCACTATGTCCTTACCTAAAGAGAAGTCAACAAGATTTGCGGCAACAGCCACAGCAGCTCCACTGGAGGATCCTCCGGGTACCCGTGCAGTCGCTGCAGGATTTGTGGGTGTACCGTAATGCTTATTTTCTCCACTTATACTGGGAAACATTAGGCAAGAAGCAAGGTAATCAAGTTGGCAAAAAAAAAATAGAGTCTTTTGCTCGATGACTAGCAGAGAAAACTATATGTATGAGTCCCCTTGACCATGAGGGGATCATATCCAACTCATATTCAACAGGACATATCTAAATGGTCACAGTCGAACGATTGGAAGGGTTCATACCCAAACGCCATTTCGTCAACAACAGTTTTCCCAACACAAGTAGCACCTCCTTCGACGAGCGTGGACACGACTGTCGATGTTCGAGCGGCTGCTTCGTGCGTCTTCTCCCAGTCGGGATGGCCAAACCCCGTTACACATCCCTCAATATCAAAACTGCGGGAACAAAAACAGCCAGAGTCAATCTCGCCGTGTTGCACACAAATATTGGCAGAGAGCAAAAATGATGAAATGCCAGTAGGCATCACTTTCGATGTTTTCCCATCCCTACGGGGAAGAGGAACAGAAAATTCTACTAGACCGAGCAATCAACCGATACTCTTTCCCTCTCTCAAGCGTCCATCAGTACCAGGCAAAACAAGTCCAGTCAGCAACTCCACTCGGAACTCTCGAATGAACGCGAAGAGCGCAAATAAAAGACGCGACTTGCTTATCAAACCATTCGGATAAGCTCGCAATTCCGGCTCCGAAAATACGAAACGTCCGCAATATCGATACGCGATTCGTCCCGCTACTACCGTCAAAACTCAAAAGTACTCGGCTCGTAAGTTCGCCTCCAGCGAAAAAACGCTCACGGGAAACAAAACAGAACGATCGTCGGGCAATCGACCGAAACAGGATTTCCTCCACAAGAAGCTCGAAAACGACGACGAGAAAAGGAAAGGAAAGGAAGGAGACGGGAGTCGAGAGGGAGAAGGAAGGGGAGGAGGCGGGCGGTGGCCATACACGTCGGAGACGGCGAAGGCGAGGCCGGTGAGCGGGTGGGGAGCTTTGGGGGGAGCGGGCTGCGGCGGAGGGAGGAGGTGGAGCCGGCGGACGAAGGCGCCGAAGTCCGCCCGGACGGCGCGCTTCAGCTTCCTCGTCACCAGCACAATCCCGGCGATGCCGAGCCCCAGGAGAACCCACAGGTTGGCCGTCTGAGAAGCCATGTCCGGCGGAGCAGAGAGAGAGAAAGAGAGGGGATAAGTTTTTGAGCAGAAGAAGAAACGAAGGAGGAAGAAGGAAGGAGAGAGAGAGTATGACGAAATGTGTTTCGAGCGTGGCAAAGGAAACCTAGGCGGTGCGAGAGGAGGGGACTCGGATTTGCACCCGTGGGACTCTCGATTTGGGCACGAGGGGCGGTGCGCACGCCCGCATCGATCCCCCCCATTTTAGGGTTCATCGCTCATCGGTGGAGAGTCCTCCGAACCCCCCCTCGAGTTAGCTTCCCCTCGATGTCTCGGTAAATCTCCGCCTCCTGTGAAATCTTCGTTTTCATAAATCTAGCTGTTTGAGATTTACCGAGGTATTGAAAGGAGCACCGTGTGTGATAAAGGATCCGCTCATCTCGCTTGCGAATCGCTCGAACCATCCTTTCTCTGCTTTCTAAGAATTTGGTTCATGATATACTTAACCGAATAGTTTCGTACTTCATAGGACCGATTATGTGATGATAACCTCGATTGACATTGGGCATGTTTACCATGTCTTTTCTCGCGACACTTGCAGTCTGGAAAAGAATTCTGCGGGCCTTACAATAACTTTGGAAAACGGGTGTTGTAGCTAGTTGCCTCGCGGGTACAACTTGTAATAGTTTTTGCAAAGCCATCTCACCCGATTTTTTAAGATGCAATTGTTTTAAAACATGTATTGCCAAATATATAGATTATAACATTTGACAATATAGTTACAACGCAATCACAATCATATCAAATGGTCATCTCCGATGGTATATGATCCCAATTCTCATTGGTTGCTTTTGCCTCGCAAGATTTATGGGTAAAGCTTCTTTCTACATGCTCAAATTAAATTTCTAGGTGACACTATTCAGTGTTCTTAACATTCAAAGATTAAGGGGAAAGTGAGATATCAAATGACAGTGGATTAACTCCGAACACTAGGGTGGCGTTTGTTTTATTAAAAATTTCACGATAAAGAAATATATTTTAACATAATCATTTCAAGAAAAATGGTAATTTTTCATTTTCCTTAAATCGATTAGTTTTCCGTCATATAAATATCGAAAAGTCGAAAAAAAATTCGAAAAAATAGTTTTCCTTTTAAACAAGCGGACCCTAAACGTTAGTAATGGAAAACGTGTACTGTATATGGTGATGGTCTTGAAATCATGGCGATTGGATTCACATGGTCTTGAAAATCTCATGCACTTTGATTACATAAAACATGTTGTTCGAGAAGAGCCTCTTTGGGATACGGTTACATGTGCGTGTTCGGTTGGTCCCCCCCTTATTGTCCTAACCCACGAAAGCATCGAGCGGATAAAACTCGGTACAATGTAGAACCACAAGTTGTCTTATGCCTCGTACGCAAGGGGAAGAACTCGTCAATGTCTCTTATTGTGCTATTCCTAGTTGATTTTATTGGGTAAATTACACATTTCGATAGTTTCAAGCCATTCAAGCTCATGTAAAAATAGCATGGAGCTCTTTAGTCGTCGAAACCAACTAGACTCGACATTCATCGTCACCACTCGATTGGGCCTAGAAAATCCCAACCCCTACTATACTAGACTTTCAAAAAGTACAATTAAATTCGAAAAACTTTCGGAAACTGCAATCAACAGAAGGGTTTGATTTGATCAATTTGACAAGTTTTAAGACTTCATTGCACTTTGTGCAAGTTTTACAACTCAATTGCACTTTTGCAACAAGTTTTAGGACTTAAATGCACTTTTAGGACTCAATCATACTTTCGTGACAAGTTTTAAAACTTTAAATGCACTTATATTTTTATATGACAGAACTATATTATTGAGCGAATAGCCCACTTAAAAAAAAAAGATCATATGAAATATACGCTCCCTTCAACAAAATGATCATATCGAACTAATATTCATGAGTTAAGAGATAATATTGGGCTTAGGAGATTGAATGAGAAAATTCACAAAGTACCTATTTCGTATCAATAGAGTGCCCGTAGTTTTGTTGACTACTCTCGCTATGGTGATTCGAACCGGGCATTAAGCTTAAAAAAGCATGCACACTTGTCGTTTGAGCAATCCTGAAAAATACTTGTATGGACGTAAGTTTATATGGTTCGATTCGTGATGAACGCTACTATTAGTTTGGCTCAATGCAAGACTCATTTGCAATCTAGGTTAATTTAATGAACTACTCAGGCTCCGTTTGCTTCGCGAAATGAATTATTCAAAAAACATTTTCTCCAAAATAATTGCTCACGTCACTTACAAAAATGAAAAGAAAATTTTCATCGATTCGTTACTTTAAGCGATACAGGCGATTTTTTTTAGGAAAATATTTTTCAAATCATTCATTTTTCGGGAAACAAATGAAACGTTAAGTTGTCACTATCATTAAGAGTTATTAAATACCACGAAAAATCCTAAAGTGCTACATTAGTGACAAATTTATCCAAAAAAACCTTAAATTAATATACTAGTTTGGAATTTTTGGTGGTGATCACAACGTACTAGTTTAGAGTTTTTGTTGGTATTATCCCTATATTTTATTAGATGATAAAGCAAATTCTCCGAGTTAGTATTTGTTTTTTACCACAGGCTTTTCCATAAAAAAAATAAAAAATAAAAAATCACTTTTTCATGCCGCCATCGACTTGGCGTGTGATGCTCTCGGGAGGTAATCGCCCGGAGCTCTCGAATTCGATTCCTGGCTATGCTGCGGAGGCTTGTCTCGTCGCGCTTCCCTGTGTTTCGCGAACCCCACGGTCATCTTTCCGTCCGCTTGCCGCCGCCGCCGCCTGTGCCCCCGCGATTCCGCACCGGCGCGGAAGCGAGCGCCGACGCGGTCGTCGTTGCCGCGCTGTCGAATTCGCTTCGGCAGGGCTGGAGTAGGGATGCCCTGAATCGGAAATTCGAGCATCTCGCGCTGGATGATGCGCTCGTCGAGCGAGTGCTGCTGGAATTGAAGGAGCCGGCCGACGCGAGATCCGCCCTGGGGTTTTTCCACTGGTCGGCAAAGGAGAGGAGATTCGAGCACGGGATTCGGTCGTATTGTGTCACGATCAATATTTTGGTTCGGGGCCACCTGATCAGGGACGCGAAAGCGTTGATCGAATCGGTTCTGAAAAGAAGTGCCGGGGAGTCTTCGAAGCTCTCTGTGGCGGATTCGCTGCTCGATAGCTATAAGATTGCTTTTGGGACCCCTCTGGTGTTTGATTTGCTCGGGCAGGCTTATGCTAAGCTGAGGATGTACGAGATTGGGTTTGATGTTTGCTGCTATTTAGAGGAACACGGGTTCTCTCTAAGCCTCGCGACTTTCAATACTTTGATTAATGTGATCCAGAAATCTGATCAGAATCCTCTTGTTTGGAGGATCTATGAGCATATGATAAAGAGGAGAACTTATCCGAGTGAAGCAACAATTAGAATTATGATCGATTCGTTGTGTAAGGAAGGGAAACTGCAGATGTTTGTGGACATGTTAGACAGGATCCATGGGAAGCGATGCGCTCCTTCAGTTATTGTTAATGCCAGCTTTCTTCATAGAATTCTTGAGGAAGGTAGAATTGATGATGCAATGGTATTGCTGAAGAGGATGTTGCAAAAGAACATGGTTTTCGATACTATTGCCTATTCAATGATTATTTACTCCAAGGTGATGATTGGGGATATAGATTCTGCATGGAAAGTTCAGGAAGAAATGCTCAAGAGAGGTTTCAATGAAAACTCGTTTGTGTATACTAAATTTGTAGGAGCATACTGCAGGACTGGAAGAGTTGAAGAAGCCAAGAACCTGATGGAAGAAATGGGAAACAAAGGTCTGAAACCATATGCCGAGACTTATGATCTTCTCATTGAGGGATTGGCTAAGTCCGGGAGAGTTGATGAGAGCTTGAGCTACTGTAAGAAAATGCTGGATATGGGACTTTCTCCTAACTGTTTGGCTTTCAATGAGATGGTAGCAAAGCTGTGTGAAATGGGAAAAGTGAAGCAGGGTAATGAGATGCTCACGCTTCTGTTGGATAATGGGTTCTCACCAGATGAAGCCACGTACTCCCTGTTAATTTCTGGCTATGCGAGAGAAGGCCACGGTGATGAAGTTCTCAAGCTCTATTATGAGATGAAGCACAGAGGATTGCCCTGTGGATCAATGGTTTTTACCTCTTTGATTGGTAGCCTCTGCCGATGTGGAAAGTTAAGTGAAGCTGAGAAGTATCTAAGATATGTGGATGCTCCTTCACTACCCGAAAACGCGAACCTTTATAAGATGCTGATTACAAGCTATCTCGAGAGAGGTGACAGAGGAAGGTGTCTCCAAATCTATAGTGAAATGGAATCAAAAGGGTTGAAGCTGTCTCTTTCAGGCATCAGGGATGAACTCGCTCAATTTCTTCCAGTGCCAAAGGAATCTGTTAACACTGGCATCTGTTAACAAAAGGAATCTTTTTGAAACTTTCTGCAATGTGCAAATAGAACCATCAGGCCGTGTTTTTTCGGAAGGAACCGTACAGAAGCCTGGGTGTCTCCAATTCAGTTGCCCCCTCTACTCCATTACTATCCAATGAGAAGCTTTCAGGAATCTATGTATTTCAAGCTGCAAATTAAATCCTTGATAATCTTCTACACTGATTTAGCTGGGGCTGAAAGTGGAGTGCTGATGATCACACTCCTTTGGATGGTAAGCCGAACTGGACTTGGTTTCATTTATGCTCGTATTAACTTGTGGTCAGGCTGAGGCTATAACCAATTTTGCCTGCAACTGATTGCTTTATCCTAATTAAGTCTGGCTAGCTGCCTATTATGCAAACATTTCTTGACAATTGCTTTTCCGTAGTCTCATAGTAGGTGTTGGTAGGCGCAGTGAAATTTGCAAAATTTACTCTGGAGCACACAAGAAGCTCAGTCTTGGAATGTCTTGCTGTCACTGGGGCCCTTAGAACATGCCCTGACAAGTAATAGAGAAATATGTTGAGTCATTTTTTCAGGTTAAATAAATCTTGTATGTTAAAAGGGAGGAATTATTACTCAATACAATTTGATCATCCCGTGTCGAACAATTTTTTCTCTGTATTTTCATGTGGGTGTTGAGTTGACGTAGTTCACATTTTGTATTGGTCAGGGAGGATTCCTTGGCCCAGAAGAAACTGGTCATGTGCATTGGAATGTAGGAGTCCTACTCCTAGTAACCGGAGAAAACCTATCTGCTTTGATGGCACGAGGATAAGCTCAGCTGAGTGCAGAAGAGCAATTGTTGCTGGAAATACTCAGGAGAGAGTGGAGCTACTGCCTCTGCTGTTAAACTTCGGTAGTTACAAACCAGATGGCTGCTCTGTTATACGCACGTTAGAGAAGCAAGGTAGCCCTTGAAGTTACAGTGGCAGATTTCTCTGCTGACTACTGTTCGGACAGTGCGAAACTAGGATAATCGGTCCGTAATTGTATTGTGATCCTTGCTCAAAGGCGAGGGTGAACACTTTCGACAACGACGATGCGCTTATGTTGAAAATTGAATGGATCAGGGGCGAAAGAGTGGGAGAAAGCAGCAGTCCATCTGTTTAAGGACAAGGAAGGCAAGTGCGGCAGTTTCTTTTGTAAGAAAAGAAGAAAGGGAAACCATTGTCGGGGGGCTATGATGAAGTTAACAAGCTCGAGCATGTTTGTTGACGATTACTTGAGCCGAACAGCGCTCGCAGAGTTTCTGTCTTGTGAACATCCATGGCGTGAGGCTTTGATATACGGGACACTGCCCATTAATAAGATGCTGACTACTAATTCTACGAGCTGAAGTAAACGAATCCTTATTATAAAGGGCATGATAAGGAGGCCATACAAATTGAAGTTCACGTGCATTATGTGCTTGCGTTTTGTGCGTTTTGTGCGATGAAACCGGGTGGATTCTTGACGACGTTAAAGTTCTACTCCTACGAGGAGAGCAAGGCTATCCTTTTCTCTTGAGCTACTCGACTACCAAATCGTACTCCGTTGGACTTCGCTGAAAATCCAATTTAGATTATGCAAAGATCAAGTTTGATGCTAGTGTCGTGTCGTGGAATTTACAAAAGAACAAATTTCGCTAAATATTTCTGAACCTCTTTCATGGAGTGCGTTACTCCGATCAATTGTGGGTCCGATGAGTATCTCCATATTTGTATTAGTTATTCGAAAAGATATTTCGTCGCAAATCCGTTCTTAATGACCGTTGACAGTCTGATGTGGCGTTGTAATATTTGGGGTAAATTGTGTCGAGATTTTTAGTGGGCACAAAATGACGAGAAAGGATCGACAAAAATCGCGAGATTTTCCCTCAGCAAAAATCCAGGGATTTTGGGCGCGCATTTTCTCAATCTCGGCGACGTGTCACAAGGAGGGGCCTCAAGTCGAGCAGAGAGATCTCCGCACGTGCGGTGCGCGCGCTCCTCATCGTTCGCCGGTTGCATCGGTCGAGCGCAATCTTCATCTCGGGGAGTGCGGGGGAGACCGACTCTCTCACTCTCTCTCTCTCTCTCTCACTCTCTTCAATTCGGCTTCGCGAGCTTCCCGTTCAAATCGCGTTGCGGCGTCGACAGAGAGATCTGAAGGCGATGGCTTTTCTTCTTCCTCTGCGCGGAAGCTCGAGCGTCGGAGCTCTGTCCAGAGACGGACCGGTCTTGCCGGTGGATGCCTCGGCTCTTCTTCCGTCGTCGCGTCGTAATTCGAGAGCACCCATTGATTTATTCGGAGGTGGGTGAGTTCAGTCTTAGCGATCCGCTTATTCTCGAGTTGTTGGTGGGTTACACTCTGTGAAGCTAAGAAGGGTTCATTTTCATTTTGTATGGTTCTTGTTAGCTGTTCGTTTGCCGTTTGAGAATATTAGAGATAATTAGGATATTTTCATATATTAGAGATAATGAAATAGTGAATCTTGTTGCGTGACGTTCAGCTTCATCAGCTCTGGGTTGACGTTCAGTAGTATGCTTCTTTGGAATTGGAGGTTCCGAAGACTTGGTTTCTATGGTGGAGTATTTCGTAGTTGCTGTTGAATGCTCATGTTCACAGATATTGTTCCGCGGGCCACATGTTCGTGCTTGGATAGTGTGTATAATGGGTATTTCTCCGGCGGGTTTCGGGTAATTCGAACGCTGAGATGGAATGAAATTGTTCTTGGGCGTGAGCCTTAAGGAATTCTTCCAAGACTGATGATGGAAGCACTCTTGTCGGCATGGTTATCCTGACTAGAAGTACTGCCTCAGTACCCTGTGAACGTTAGCCTCCTGTAGAGTGCAGATGAGAGGATTTTTCAGTTGGAAAATATTCTTTACTCTACTTTTAGTTGGTTTTCAGTCATTTGCTGGTTTGTTCTTCTTGCTTATCCCTATGTGTTGTAGTTAGTGAGAAACCTTCTGAGTACATTAATACTCTGGGTCTGCCTCCATTACTCACTCTTTCGGTCATTCACGAGACTGAGCTTCTGAAAGCACTTGGCCAATCTTGTGTGCTCGAGTATGCTTCCGCCATTAAGCCCACTTTACACCTTTTGTCCTCTCTCATCTTCACTGTACTTACTGAAAGAAACAAAAGAGCAAAAGAAACTGAGGGTCTGATTATGCTTCTTCTTTGACAGGAAGGTCTTCTGTCAGAAGCTTTCATGTTGAGAGACGTTCTTTTTCCTCCAGAAGTGGATTGGACAGGATGATGCCTAAGAGGACGAAATTTACAATTCCCAGAAGTGGCGGTTCCTCGAACTCTAGCAGTACCAGTGAGGGTTCCTCTGATCAGGGCAAGGTGTGAATCATGATAAAAGTCTGTTTGTTCTTAGAATATCTCACCATCACTCGGTGGCTGCCAGATTGAATTCCTTGCTGCACTACATTGAATTCCTTGCTGCACTACATTTCCTTTACTGTCAGATGGTAATGGCAGTTGGGATTCTTTTTTTCCTTTCCCCCAGGTAGTTGGGTAGGGGTTACCTAATGGAACAACTGTCTGGCTTTAGTGATGGGTCATATATAACTCAATCTCACATTACTTAGAAATGCAGGTGATACTAAGCACTCACTACAAGCTTCGCAAGCTTATGTGACATATGCTTTAATTATTCACGACTATCTTTTGAAAATTGTTGGGATAAGGCTTGGTTTGTTGTTATTGTTGTTGTTTTCATCATTATATCTTTTAATGGCTGTGTGTTTCGATAATCCATGCACAGGCTCCTTTTGGATACAGCAGGAAGGACGTTCTATTGATTGGACTTGGAGTCACGGTTTTTGGCATTGGCCTAAAAAGTGGATTGGAGGTAGTTTGCGGCTCTCAATTTTGTTTGACCTTTAAACTTTGGCTACTCTTTGGTTGTCCAGCTTTGATGCATATGCACATAGACACTGAGACAAACAGTTTCCCCAATGGATTTTTCGATTTGATTGAAGGTTTTTCTAAGGACGACAGCTTATCTTTTTTTATTTAAGTATTATTGTTCGAGTCATTGCATGGTCTGGTGTGAGATGAATCTGACTGGTCTTACTGATCATTCTGCAATAGTATGTATAGCATTTTGTTCTTTCCCCTCAGTTGCTATAGCTTGTTATTTGGTCAGAGAACTGCACTAGGATGGGAAGTCACCATCTAGTGGTTGGTGTATGGTGTCTTATGCAGTTTGCTGGAGTTGATCCTCTACAAGCAGGGAATGTTGTCCAGCTAGTGCTGGTATTGGGATTAACTGTCGGATGGATATCCACTTATATATTCAGGGTTTCAAACAAGGAAATGACCTATGCTCAGCAACTACGTGACTATGAAAACAAGGTCATGGAGGTAAAGCATCTCATGCTATTTTGACTATGACCATTTACTTCTCGTAGAAGCAAATATTTTGGACCAAGGGAACTGTTATGCAATTGATTCTGAATTTTCGAGTACAAGGATGCTATCTAGTGGCATGGGGTTGTCGTATCATATGTGGGAGCTTCCTTGCACTGTATTGATGTTCACTTAATGGGGGGGGGGGGGGGGGGTCTTGCTTTCCTTTTCTGTGGAATTCTAAAGTTTGACGTTTTCTTCCTCGCGGACTTCATCTGTTCAGCCGAGAATTGCATGTTACAAGAGAAACAGTAGCGTTCACTCTACCTTAAGGCGGAAGAGAATTTGTTCTGCTGTTTGTAGAGTATATGATTCTTGTTTGTGGGGGAGATCATTCTTTGAATTGTTCTCTTATGGCTTCATGGAAACAGTGCTGCTCTGGGTGAATTGGAGGAAATTTCGCTTTGGAATTTTCTTGTGTTGACGGAAATTTTTTTTTTCTCTTTTCTTACAGTTTTAAGAGTATAAAATTGACAGTTATATTGTAAACAAAATTAGCAGGATCTCTTTTATAGGAATCAATTGTTGATTATATAGTTCTACGCGAAACCAGTTTATCTCGTGTGTTGGTGCATTGTGGTAATCTAACTGCAATATGGCCTTTCTGGACGAGTGGATACTTTGCCTGCATATTGAACCTTCTTTTGATTATTCTTCATGTGGTAATAATCTCTCGGGTCTGTCTGCTTCCTTCCTTACGCTCATTTGGGCTTGTTTTGGTTCTACAGAAGCGCATAGAGAGCTTGACAGAAGCTGAGCTTGAAGCTTTGCTGGAACAAGTGGAGGAAGAGAAGAGACGCTTAGCGAGCGGCGAGCAAGTCAACTAAGTACACATGCCATCTGTATATAATATGGGATCAAGTCTGCCCCCACATGTATTGTGTAGTGAAAGTCACCTAAAGATTGTTGCTTACACATGTTAATTGTCCTAGTGCTTTCTTCACGAAGAAGCCTACCTTTGGGTCGATAAATCCAATCTAGTACCACCTGCAAATTGCCAGTAACACGAAGGTTGAAACAAGAAGTACGGAAACCCCCACACACTCGAAACCAAAGGGGGAGCAAGATAGAGGGTGCTTTTCTTCAGTAGGGCAGGGCCAAATGCAAACAAAAAACAGCAACAGTTGCAGACCCTGCAAGTGCAACTTTATTGAATGCGCCTCTGCTATTTGGCAGTGTCGAGCCTGGTGATGAAGCTAAAAACGGCCCAGCGTCCAGTCTCCATAGCGCGCATAACGACAGCAAACGTCGATATTAAGTTTGAGGGGCGCAAGCAAAGGTCGTTTTCCCATTTTTTGGGTTTGGACCTGAAATGATGATAGCAATCCAAGGATGGAGCAGTGACGAGTACCCATCATCTATCTGTTCATTGCCTTATTTAATCCAATCCATCATTATTGAGGTTCTTTCCTTCTGGTAAAATCCATATGGGAGGGCAGGATCATTGAAGTTTCTTCCCCTAATGCCACCGAAATAGTCAATAATGAGACTTGTTAATAATAGACCCGTCATGGAAAAGGAGGAGTAAATATCACATTTAAGCAATTGGGAGGCCACATTATGAGGTGAAGCGTATCTCGGACACTGTTTTGCAACTATAGAGCGATCGATTGAAAAGTGATATTTTTTCGAAATTTTTTCAACCAGGTACAAGTCATCTGAACATAAACTAAGGATTCAATTTCTTTCAACACTCGCGAAGTTGACGATAGTTGGAAATTTGTGAACTGGAGTAGACTTTCATTGGGGAGTAGATGTTAGGATTCCATTGGACTCTCCATCCTATGACCCAATTAGATTTGTAATTCTTGATGAAACTCGAGATTTTAGGAAAGTATCAATTATAAACCCGCTTGTCGATTTTTCAAGCTAAAGTTTAAACATGCAATTTGAACTCATGCATTTACGATTCGTTTCAAATGATCTGAGGAACTAAAGGATCGTTCATTTTTCTTTAATTTCTAAATTCCAAAAAAAAAAAACGGGTATTTTCAATTTGCATATGCATGGGATACTTTGTACATCGCAAAATTTTGCAAAGGCTTGAAAGCTTTATCTCGGATTTACTAAGAACATTATGAAAAACATTAAGAAAAGATTTGGGACATTAATCAATCTAACAAGACACTGTGGAGGATCACGGGGCCAGTTCGGAGGGACGAATGAGAGGGGATGATGATATTACGCGACGAATGAAGAAGATTAAAGAGAGAGATAATTATACGCGAAACGATGTCGGACCAAATGATTGCCGCCGCGTCACCGAAGCGGGGAACGGCAGGTGGGGGCGTCTCGAGAAACGGGGGCGACCCCGCACTCGCGCAAACTCCATTCGACAGAGATTAAAAATCCCAAAAACCGAAAAAAAAAAGAAAAAAGGAAAGGAAATAACCAATCATTAGCCCCAATTGAACAATCGTCTCCTCCCGCACACGCACCACGTCACACCATCTCTCTCTCTCTCTCGCTCTCTCCCTCTGCTCCGCCATGGCCGTCTCCTTCATCTCCTTCCCCCCCAAGCCTCCCTTCTCCGGGTCCTCTCTCCCTCAACTCGGCTGAGTCCATTCGACGCTTGACTCGCTCCCTGTTTCCTCCTCTCTCTCTCTCTCTCTGTGTTTGCGTTTCCTTCGTTGCAGTTGCAGAGCATCGGAAGAAGCCTGATCTCCCCCCCCCCCCCCTCCCCCCCTCCGCCGTCAATCTCCGGTATCCACCGTCCCGTCGACCCTCCGCCGCTTCAATTTCCCCCCCTCCTCCCCCTCCTCCCCCTTCTCTCGCCCCGCGCCTCCGCGCACTCCCGTCGCGCCCCCGTCGCGCCCCCGCCCCGCGCCGAAGGTGTTGGCGCCGGACCTGATGCGCCCCCTCCTCCTTCCTCCCTCGAGACCGTGATCGGAGGCCGCGGCGCGAGGGGGGCTCGGCTCGGCTCGGCTCGGCTCATGAAATGGCGATCGTCACCGGGGATCGCTACCTCGAGAGGCTCGTGAGGTTCGTGGAAGCGCAGGCTGGCCCGCTGATCGACGGAACCCTAGTGCTCAAGCTCAACCCCGTGGGGCTCCACTACGTCCAGTCGAGGCTGGAGTCCCTGCACGAGCTCGAGCGCCTCCTCGCGGGGGCTCCGGTCGACTACCTCCGGGCTTATGTCTCCGACCTCGGGGATCACCGCGCCCTCGAGCAGCTGCGGAGGATTCTGCGCCTCCTCACTTCGTTGAAGGTCGTCTCGGTGCTCCCGCCGCAGTCCCGGGATCCGACGCCGCTCTCGCTGCTCCCGTTCGGGCGGCTGAGGTTCCTCGAGCTGAGAGATTGTGATTTGTCCACATCGGCCGCGAGAGGGTTGCTCGAGTTGCGGCATACTCTGGAGAAGCTTATTTGCCACAATTCTACCGTGAGTTCTGTTCCGTCTACTGCTTCTCTCGACCTTTCGGATCAGATCAAGTGCCGTGGTTTTTTCATTTTCCAGTCTATGTCTATAGCTGATTTTGGTTCTGCTCACCAGTTAATTCTGCGCTTTTTTAGATGGGGAAATTGGCTGAATTTTAGTAAGAAGTGGATGAGAAACTAAAGTTAATGCCGTATAGATTCATTCCCCCTTTCCTCCCGTTTATTCGTACAGGCCGTTCTCCTTATATCAATCACGATTACATTGTTTTTTTATTTTTTTTAAACTTCAGTTCACTCAGGTTTTGGATGTTTAGAACAGCTATGTTCAATGTTGGAGTTCGGGTTTCTTGAGAGAAAAAAGTAATGGAGCATGTGGTTAAGTAATGTTAATTATAGATTAAGAAAAAGGTCGTTTCCATTTGGGTGTTCTTTTTTTGCCCTTTCCTTTTTGCTTTAAATGCTGTTGACGGGTCATACTAAATGAAAATCAATAGAGATGGCGTCTTCATGCAAATTTGAATGAAGGGAGGTACCGGGTAAACTGGTGTCTTCATGCCGAGTTGAATGAGTAGAGGTGTCCATGGAAATATTGTGAGCCAAATGAGTAGTATTTACTATGATTGCCGTGAAGGCATATGGACTAGCTAATGCTGTTAATAACTTGGGTTTTTCAGAAGGCAGAGAAAGCAAATGCTGATGTTGTTCGGTTAGTTGGAGAAATGGTTGTTTCTATTAAATAAGTTTCTTGGTTCATGGCTGTTAAACTGTGGTTCGAAAAGTTTAAGTGAGGGATTTTTAGGTGTTGTCATTTCATGTTGGACTCTTCTCCTAAGAGAGAATGTTGATGCTCCACCTCCTTCAATCTGAATCTGCCTTTTCATCTCTCTCTCTCTCTCTCTCTCTCTCTCTCATAAACACTTTATGACTGCTTTTTATGTGGAATATTAACCTAATAACACAATTGTGTACATGACTCTTCAACAATGCCAATTTCGCAAAAATTCTTGTTAATAATCTATTGTTCTTTTGAAATATAGGATGCTCTACGGCATGTTTTTGCAAGTAGAATTGCTGAGATAAAGGACTCTCCACAGTGGAACCGCTTATCGTTTGTTTCATGTGCTTGCAATGGCTTGGTATTGATGGATGAGTCCTTGCAACTTCTTCCTGCAGTTGAAACCCTTGATCTTAGTAGAAACAAGTTCTCAAAGCTGGGTAATCTCCGGAAATGCATGAAACTGAAGCACCTGGATCTTGGATTCAATAATTTGAGAACAATTTCATCATTTACTGAGGTAGCGAAGGTTATAATTAAATTGAAATACTGGTTTATGATTATCGTTTGCGTTATATCTTTTCGCTTTCAGATACACATATTGATTTGGAAGTTTTTCTGTATTCGCGCGTGGTTTCTTTCTTCTTCTAATAGCTTGAAGATGCTCTTATAGTTTTCTTGTGCTTTCCAATTTGCTATTCTGTATTTAGAGATTACACAGTGGCGAAATTGATTATCTTGGGATACTTAAGCTTTTCAGTAGGCCTAAGAAGCAGGATGTTTTCTTCGTGGGCACATCAAAGTTATCATGGATCTCTTTGGTTTTTTCGAGGCCTTTTGACGCTTCTAACATAAAAAATCAGGACCTGGCATGTTCATTCATTTACTTTTTGGAGTCTTTTTGGGGTTGGGGGAACCATGATTTTTGTCAGTTGCAGAATGTTCTAAGTGGGACAGCTAAAAGATCGCTGTAGCAAAGATGATGATATGCCAATGCTGACTTTATCTGCGCCTTTTTGAATAGCTGAGTGAGATCAAATATATGTGGAGCTTCTATTGTTAACAATATGTGGATTTTAGGGCTGGTGCCTCTTAAGATTTTGGGGAGCCTTTAGTATTGACAAAAGAACTGCCCTAATGTCCTTAGCTTCTATTAACAGTGAACGGTGGTATTGGCAGAGATATGTGATGTGCAAGTTTTTGTGCAGATAACATGTATCTTTTTAAATTTGTCCCTTTTCCCTTAATGGCTTTGGGCATTTCAAAGCCTTAAATCAATGTTTGACAACCGATGTGGTCAATTGTACCAATGACCTCAGATTCTTCATAGCCAGTGCCTGTGTTGAAAGATTGAATTGGTCTTTCAAAAATCTCATGGCTACCAAAGCCATAGAAGTAACATTTGGTGGGAAACGATTGGTACATGAACTTTATAGTACATATAGTTGTTAGTCTGTTGAATCCTTTAAACAAATATGTGGAGTGCATGGCAGAATGTGCTTGGTATGTAAAGGTAAGTGGTGGAAGCCTCTTCTCTCGAAGCCAGCAGTCTAATGGAAGCTGATGCCAGGTTGAAAGATAATGCATTGGTGGGAACCACATTCAACATGTCAGCTAGAGATATTGCATACACAGTTCGTACATCAAAATTTCATTGCTTATATGTAAATTTCTTGTCCGCCTCTCCGCTACATAAATAATCTGACGCTTGGGAGATGGTTTGGTGTGTCGCCAATAAATAACTTTTCTCCACTGTGTCTCTACCTCTGTTTTGTGGCTTATTTACTATTGTGTTTCCTACAATTTTGATTTTTTTTCCATTTAGGAATTAGCTTTGGACTGATGCATGGATTACATGGATGTCATTGCTTTATGCAGGTCACATCCCATATTGTAAAACTTGTTTTGAGGAACAATGCTATAACTTCATTATATGGGATCGAGAATTTGAAGTCGCTCGAAGGGCTTGATGTTTCCTACAATGTTATTTCCAATTTTTTAGAGCTAGAGGTACTTGCTGCCCTGCCTTCATTGCTAAGTTTGTGGTTGGAAGGAAACCCAATATGTTCTGCCCGATGGTATCGACCACAAGTGTTCAGCCTTTTCACCTATCCAGACAAAGTAAGTCAATCCTTATAAATTCGCCAGAATGTAATTGGTTTAATTATACTTAAGTGTATATCACAGTCCAGCTAAGTTTACCCGTTCTTCTAGTTGAAGTTAGATGACAAGGGAATTAGCAAAAGAGAGTATTGGAAGCGGCAGATTCTTGTCGCCGCTCGACAGAAGAGGCCTGCAAGCTTTGGATTTTACTCGCCTGCAAAGGATGATGCGGAGGGAGAGGGTAGCATCAACAGGAAAAAGGTCGGTAATTTATGAAGTTAACTCCAATAACTCTTCGCTCTTATAAGGGAAAAAGAAAACAAATGACCCTTTATTGTGCTTGCGCATTCCCGTGAATCCAAATCCAGGGGCACGAACCTATGTTAGTTTTTCCGGTGTGCATGGGATGGGCAAGTGTTAGGCTAGTGGGGATTCATAGGATGATTGAAGAGCCTTGGAATACCCTACTGTTAGGAAAAGGATAACGGGAAGAAGCTTGTACCCCTCAATTTGAGTTTTTAGCACAGGTTAGCATTTTTGTTGCTTTGATTGTACTGAACCGTAGTGCGGACCTTCTCCAGGATAATGTCATGACTTTTTCTTGGTAGTTGGATTTATAATAGTACCTAAAGAAAAGTAAATGGAAATAAATTTATATATGTGTTTGCCTAACCTTAGAGTGTCAATTCACTAGTTCTATTAGATCACTAAATCATTTTCTTGGTTTTGGTTTGGAATGCTTGTATAGTAGTTGGTTTTTCTACAGCTTTAAAATGTAACATGAGAAATCCTGCTTCTATTTCTGCAGAAGAAGCAACCTCGTATTGCATCTATTGATAGTGAGGAAGAAAGCACCTGCATATGCTCTGACCATGATTCCATCTCATGTGATAATGAGGTATCCAGCAGAGAGGAAAATGTCAGAGGTGATGATGAGGCTGAGATTGTTGATTTGATGAATCGAGCGGAGGTTATGAAGAAAGAGCGTTCTGTTTTTTGGTTACGTGAGTTCAAGGAGTGGATAGACCAGTCTTCAGAGACTTTGTTGGAGAATGGGAAGTTCGATTCTAGAAACAAAAGGTGGCATTTTGGCGAAAACTCGAAATACACTTCAGATTCTTTTCAAGATTCAGGAGATGGTAGCAGCACAAATATTTTGGACTCGGATAGATCATTGGCTCTTTCACATGGGCATCGATTCCTTGATCAGGTCAATGGAGTGGTAAACGCTGGCGGTGTTTCTCTTCTTGACATGGGCAGGACAAATCTTACCCACGAGCATAACTACCATGGGTCTAAGCATACCAAAGGGTCACATCACAATAAACTCGCTGCTAACGGACAGCAAATGGCTGCAAATTCGATCATATCTGTGCCTTCTGGTGATGACGCGATAGAGAAACGTTCTTGGTCCTCTTACCATGGATCTCCACCTCATTATCGAGAGAACATTCTGCAGCGCCATGACAGCTTGGTAGAAGAAATTCTGCAACTTACTGCTGACTCCTATTCTGCAGCATCTTCGGATAATACTAGTTGCAGTGAAGATGACCTTACTGAATTTGGGACATCAGTGTCAGATGTGGATAAGAGATTAAATGGAGGGACCCGAAATTGGAAAGTGGATGGACATTTCTTGATCAATAGCTTTGAGGATTCAAAAAATCCATCTCCAGGGACAGGTGAAATTCGCGAATTTTTTATTGATGTACCTGCTAAACAACCATCTAGGATTCTGGATCTTGATGTGCAATATTATTCTGGTTCTCATTATCATGAAGGTGAACTTCTTGAGTCAGTCAAGGAAGGGGTTAAATTGTCTGAGAAGCGCAAAAGCAAAAGGAAGCCTAAGAAAAGAATTGTGCCTTTGTCAGAGGAGAGCAGGGGAGCTGACAAGTCAGGAGCATCGTCAGCCTCAGGTGGTCCTACGGACACTAGTAGTCTGGAAGACGGACAAACAAAACAAATCTTTAAAGGGGGTGATTTGGAGGAAGTTTATGAGAAGCAGGCATGGGACGCCGTTAGCACCCAAAAGAATGACACAACCACTGCTCGGGAAAAAAGCTCAACAGGAGGGACTGATGAATTTATCGAGACATACTTTAACATGAATGTTGCAACATCAAGAACTTATGAAACTTGTGAGCAGTACCTTCGTTGTGATTGCGTGCTGGAGCAAGAATCCATTTACAGAGAGAGGTGAGTAACTTTAATTTTTGTCCATAGATCCGCATTTCAACTTCTTTTCTTGACTTGTTTAGTAAGCTTTCTGCATTGATTTTGCTTTTCTTAGTTGCTTTTCTTAGCTTTTTTGGCAGTTCATTCATTTAATAGCTGCTCTGTCCTATCGGTTTGGTTTCTTCTGAAAATTTGTTCTCTCAACCTATTTGGCAGTACATCTATTGTATATTCAAGCAGTTTTTTTAATTAGATCTATTAATTTTTGCTTTGAAGCAAGGATCTGGCGAATAATTGGATACTATGATCAAACTGATTGTGATTACATTTAAATGGACTTTATGGTTATTAATATTCCCAGCTCATTCGAGTCTATTCTGAACGTTCTCAGCTCTCTTTAGTCTATTCTGAGGTTTGTTATCTTTACCACCCCTTGCGTATGTCCGTATCTTGATTTTATGTTGTAGACAGTGATATGGAGAAACTTATGTTATAGTTTCTGTGGTTTCATGCTTCCCTTTTTTACCCTTTCTTTTTTCCCTCTAATGCAGAGAAGTGGCTCTGTTGCGAAGCAGTGAACATCGCCTCTATGTGCTTCTGATTGCTTTTAGATTCGATGGGTCAGGTGGGGTTTTTCAAGTAACTGTAATAATGTGGTTATATCTCTCGTGATAAACTTTGATTAATCAATTCGTCATCTAGTTCTTCCAGGTTATGCTGAAGTTCAGCTTGATGGAACTTGCAGGAACTATTTTGAGTATGCTGGGCTGCCACATGGCTGAAGAAATTAGAGAAGTTTCAATTGGAATGGGCTTCCACATTGTGAGGTTAGTGAGTTTTGTTACCTAAAAGATTTGCTTTCATTGAACCAATTATTTCTCTGAGCATCTTCTCTGATTCACACAGGGTGTGCATTGATACTGGAGCGAGGTATCTGTTCATCACAAGGAGCATTGATAAATCAAGACTACTACTTGAAACATTGGAAATTATCAATGTGCTTGATACAAAGTGTTCTTTGAAGAGGTACCTAACTGTACCAATGTGCATGTTAATTTGATAGTCCTGCCTTTTTTGGTCTAAGTGCGTGGTTGTACATAATTTAGATTCATGCATACTATCCACATTCTTATGTCCATAGTTTATATGGCCTCGCAGCTTCATAGCCTTTACATGTTTTCATATATACTATGTGGTGATGGATTGTGGTATCTTGTAAAATTGAATGACAGTTTGGAGCCAGTGCAATTCGAGTTATTTAGCAAGCAAATAGGTGGAGGCGCAAAAGTGAACATATTCCAATACTCGATGATTCTTTTCTGTCACGACAAAGTCAAAGGTTTGTTCTTAGTATTGTGGTTGATTTGTGATTCCTTTCTCGATGTTGTGACCTCCAATAAATTATGGTCTCTTTTGTTAGGAAAAATAGAACTCGACTCTAGAATAGGAAATAGTGACTTGCAAAAAGACAAAAGGGAATTAAGTCTTGAACATTTATTAATTAGTAGAATTAAGTCATGATTTAGAATTAAGACATGAATATATTATTCATCAAAGGGAAATACGTTTCTTTATCCCAATCGAATTGGATTTGGATTTTGATTCCTTGTAGTCTGAGTGTCTTCTTAGCCCAAAGACATATCTTCTTTTCCTTGATTAAGGTCTGGGTGATTCCACACTTGAAACTACTAGTAGAAAGTTGGACGAGCGAGTGCCTTGGGATTCATGGATTATGTTTGCTAATTCATCCTCTGGGTTTCGCATGCTTCTGAGAGTGAATCTTTTATACCTTGCACCGAGAAGTTGAAAATAAAATGGGGGTTGTCTTGGTCATAATGCAATGTGATGTAAGCTAGCGGCTTCTGTGTATATGCAGCAACTCTTAGATGGTTTTGTTAGTTTCCGCTGTTTTTACACTTAGTTTACTTGGAACCTGACAGATCAATCATGGGCTTCAAGATCATTATTTGTTACCGGAGGTCAGTTGCTTATATGCATCGAGGATATCAAGCAGTTCGGCACTCTTTCCAGAGATTCGTCCTCGCCCCCCTATTTCTCATTAGTGTCAACTTGCAGTATTGCTGATGTGTCCGAGATGGTATTTCTTCTTTCCTGGAAGAACTCTTTAGCATTCGCAAGCATTTGTCAAGTGATATAGCCATATGTTCCATGATGATTGCCTATTGCTTCAGTCCCTTAAGCGAATCATCCCTTTAATACGATATTTTTGCATTCACGCTAGTTGTCACTCGCCACATGCATGTGCTTGTTTTGTTCCATGTTCAAAGTCTGGTTGAAACATTGCTTTCAGGTCATCGAAAGTGGGGTCAGCTACTGTGTGACCTTAGCTCTTGAGCGTGCCGCACAGGAGTTCCGGCCGTCAACGAAAGCTCACAATAAGATTGCAGCAACTCCTCATGGGAACTTATCTTCAGGCATTCTGTCATGGAAGCTCAAGTGGTCCTCTGAAACGGGTCTGTTTCAGTTTGTGGCGCTGTTGAAGGCACTCCATGCCGGGACAGGCTCTCCTCTATTCATAAGAACTGAATCGTGATTCTTCCTTTTGTTTTGCCTTAATATTCATTTCATTCTTTTGGTTAGGTTCGTTCTTCCTAGTTATGTTGATGTGCTTTTGCTTGATTTTATGTGGTGAGCCATAGTTTGTTTCCTATTATATCATTCTTTGGTTGTATTCTTTTACGAGCAAGCTGTCTCATGTACAAAGTTTGTACAGTTACGGGAAATGATAGTGAAAATGTCAGTCGTTCTCTGCATCGTGTATTCCGTGTTTTCACGAATTATGACTCTATCGGAGCTAGTCCTCTTTACCTAAAGTCGAGGATAGGCTTTTGCGTTGCATTTGTCATGGCCTTTTTGGCCTTTTGTAATCAAACGTCCTCTTTCTCTCGCCATGCAAGTCTGACAAGCGGTTGTGCTTGGGACAACCATAATTTCTTCCAAATTGGGTTTGAACTCGTACATAGAGAAAGAGCATGGTTTGTTAACCATTCTGCTTTGTGTTAATGAGTAGAAGCCTGCAGCGGCCAACTCGTCCTTGTTTACAAAGAAAAAGAAAAGGCAAGAGAGGATAGAAGCCGAGTGATGCAGCTCTTCATGGACAGATTCAGTTTGAAACTACCAGAGCTTTGACATGATCAAAGCAAAACCCAGAGTGACAACTCCTGACCCAGCAAGACGAGAAGTCGTCCCGCTCTTCGCGGGGCTCTCAGGAGCTGCAGCTGTCGAAGTAGCGTTGCTTAAGGTAGAGCCTGTTTCATACAGCAAAAGTACAAATATTAGGTAAAAAAACCATGGGTTCTGCAGTATGCGTTGTGTTTGTGTATGATACTGTTCATAGCGTACTACTCTACATTTTTCTTTCCCTTTGATGCTCTTCAAGTTGATTGTAAACGACAATATCTAGAGAGCAACCGGATGCAAAAGTTGATTTTTAATGCTGGCTCTAGACTCTAGAGATGCACAAAGATATATTCAATGAAGCTGCTTCATAGAAAGATGGTAGAGCTGACATGCAATGCAACTGCAGATGAAAGCTCTTGGTCAACAGCAGAAAGTTCCGTGAAAGAAAGTGATGCATATATCAGGGAAAGGGAAAAAGTAGGAACTACCATCGGCAGGAGTAGCTTGCGAATCGGCAGGGGTTGCCAGTGAACTAGCCGGAGAAGCCGCTGCTCCTGCTAATCAGAGGAGCGGAGAAGTAAAGTTTCAGTCACTATGTGGTTTAAATCAAGAAAGATAAGGAGCGAGCAAAATATCTATGAGCTCTGTGTTAAATTCGGAGCGACAAACGCATGAACTTAAAGACATCATTTGCAGCAAAAGCTTCAGCCGCTAAAAATTCAATGAACAACATACAGCCCGTCTCGAAATTACCATGACAAATAAATAAAGAACGACCAACTTTAGAAACAAAAAGGCAATTCTTAGGAAAGAACCTGCGATACAGGAATCCTTGTCCAGGAGGACTCTCAATTTTTTTTAATTATAATGGTTCGGCAAGGTATCAAGAATCCAAGATTATTATTATCTACAAAAGGTTGATTGTTAATTACCCTTATTGCAAACCGAAACGTCGACGTCGGCACCGCAAGTCTTTGCGAGAGCCAGAGCCCCGGCTTGGGTGATGCCCAGGCTCTTCAGTGTATCGGGCTTGTTGAAGACTTGACACAGGCACTGCGAATCGCCGGTCACCAACTCCTTCAATGGACCGCAGCATGAATCCGGTGGTGCCGATAACCCTTTGAGATACGCTTGGCATGGGATCAGCTTCTGCATGCACGACGGCGCCAAATCCGCACCGCTCACTCCGCCAAGGAACTGCGACGAAATTTGAGTGGCCCATGAAGAGAACAAGAGGAGCAATGGGAAGAGAAACTTGGAAGCCATGATCGATTACTGTCAAAGAAGAGGAAAGAGAAGAACACGCAGGAAAATATGTAGGGAACGAATTGTTTTCTTGTTCTCTATAAGGGCTTTATCTTTAATAGGAAAATGGTTATATTGGTTAGTTGCCTCTTCCTATGAATAGGATTCTTGTTCCTCGTGTTGGTGTTGTTCCTAGTATTTCTCTGTCCGGAGACGGTTTCCATCAGCTTCTCAGGTTTTTCTCACTACGTGACTAATAACCCCGTTGTGCATGCGCATGGCCTCTTTTGCCTTTGGAAGCTTCCAGCATTTTTCGTTTTATTTTCCGATTATTTCAAGTATTTATTAAGGTTTCACTTTCAAATATAAGCTCCTTAATTTTTCTCTGTCGACTTAGATAATTGACCCTTATTGATGGGCAATTTGACAGTGATGATTTAACAGCGACTCAATCTCGCTAAAATCCGCAGCCTCTAGACGAAACTTCCGCCGCATATGCACAGAAATTTTCTCTACCCCTTTTGAATCTTGAGTGCTGGGAGTTAAATGCCAGGAAGAATCAGATGAATTGGATTCCTCTCCAAATTATGAATTCTAGAGATGTACAGCGACTCGTTTGGCGATAAGTTACGCCGAGTTTTTCGCAATCTAGGCGAATAGAATGGATTATTCCGCTACTGGGGGATACAAAATATTAAAGCTGCAACAATGAGAAGCTGAATGGCTCCTGATCGACCACTCGTTGGCGAGAACGATGAGCTCCGATCAAAGGTGACTGCTTCAGCTTTCTCCATATTATAGTAAGCAAAATTTCCATCAGAAGTTTCTATTTGGCCGCTGACTGTGGACAAGGAGCAGATGAGTTGAGGATGGAAAAGCTAATTTCGCTAGACGTGCTGGTGCTACAGGCTGGCGATTTCTTGTCCACGGCATAAGGGGATGAGCTTATCACCCTGAATAAAGCACAAAGGAAGCATTTACATTAGCAACAATATGAACGTGATGAAGTCATTTGGGTCTAGTTCAAACAATGTGCAGAATTTAGGTATTAGTTTCCTAAAGCACATTCTGAGCTGACCTGTCTTTGGTGTTGTAAAAGCAATTCAAGGAAGTACAGATTCTGTCCATGTCATTTTCAAGGCAAACAGTGCAGTAAGACAAATTGTTATTTGTTGAACCAATTAAACTAGGTCTATTTGCTTCCAGTACCTGATCAGAGGACTACTACATCAGTGATTTTCATTGTTTCTTTTAAGGCAGAACAGGGGTTAGTAAAAGCTAGAAGGGGGATCTCGGGCAATTGATGTGCGGGAACCATCAATTGGTACATCCTATCCAGACATCTCCAACTATGATGGTGAATCGAAGAGAAACCAAGCAATTCAATTATCTGTATTTTCTCATCTAACAGAGAAATAAGTATGACTAAATGTAAAGAATGCAGGACTCTTTACTCACCGTTCCTTGCGCTTCTCTAGAAATCGAGCCAAAGACGCCTTACGAGCCTGAGGCAAAGCAACTGCAAAACAATGTTCCATCACATAACAAAAATAGATTACATAGGAAATGAAGAAGCACATAGACCACTGCTTTTACCAGTTGACAATAAAGATGCTGCACCATGTCCGATGGGCGTAACAACTTTGGAGGTCTCTGATATGTTAACAGGACAAGCAAAAGATCCTAGTGGTTTCATTGTCATCGTGTCATTGTCAAATGTAGATTTTCCTCCTGATGGAGATCCAGATTGAGAGGTCACAGACACGAGGTTCGGAAGTCCCAATAATGCTGAAATATTCTGAGGCTGATTTCCCCTTGAAGAGTTATCTGTACTAATTCTTGATATTGCTCCTTGATCCTGACCCTGACCCTGAGTTGTGGCAAGAGTCTTACTGTGAGTCAAAGGAGGGCCATTACCGGCCAATAACATAATAGCCTGAGCCTGGATAGACAACACAATGAACAAAAGCAAAGATCAATTAATGACACATTTGAAATCTAAGAAGTGACTAAAGCAACGGTGGAAAAGGAAGAAGTACCTTCTCTGGAGATACATCATCATAAACATTCACAGACCCGGCATAAAAGATTGTCATCTGAGCAGGCATCTCAGGGTGTTTTGAAGCTCTCCTGAGAAAGAAAACAAGAGACTCAGCCTATTTTCTCCAACAAAGCACGCCATTACAACAGCAATTCAATGTCCAGATTAAGTTCTCGGCAACTTATGAATATAAGATTTCCCCGAGTTAATAAAAGAATTACCTATAGTCAGTATAACCGACGGTCGAACTCGTGGATGGAAGCAAAGAAACAGGAGGTAGACCCAGAACTCCGCCTACAGGTTGTGAGTTCACCGGAGAACAAACCATATTCTCCCTAACCGAGGAAAAATTGGCCTGAAGAACGGGACTTTTAAAAGGAAGAGAGGCAGTCTTATTTGGTCTATTAGATCCCGAGTATATCTTTACTTCTTGGGGATAATGGACCGAAATCCCATTAAGGTGTTGCTGTGGGTAGATTGTCGGAGCACATCTTTCCTGTGCTTTCTTGTCAACGATTATGCTCGTCTGCAATGAAAGAAGCAAATCATCACAAATGACCAATAGAACGAAAAAAAATATTATACTATCCGATACAGTCTCAAGGTACTGTTAAGATCACCTTTGGGACTTGAGTACCTTACCGCTACTGCTTGTCTACGCTATTGCAATACTAACTAGAACGATTAGTAATTGTGTATTGCAAGCAGAAAGGTAGGTGATTTTCAAAGCAAGCCAGTGATTCATGGCTTGAAAATAACTCTGTGGGATTTAGAATTTGGAGAGAGAGAGAGAGAGAGAGAGAGAGAGAGAGAGAGAGAGAGAGAGAGAGGCGGACAAACGTACCTGGGGCTCTCTTGATTGCAGTTTCCACTTAGAGTTCGAAACATCTGGGACTTGTGTGTTCATAGATCCAGAAGATGCTTGCGAATCAGGGATAACTTTCTTTGGCCTCTCCTCTTCAAAGGCCTTGAAAGATAGGAGCTGAGAAGAGCCAGAAACCTTGTTTGAGAAAGCCCACTGCATCTGCGAACCTTTAGATGATCACCAAAAATCAGCGAAGACGGAAGAACACTGGCCAATCATTCACAACAAAACTGTTGATATAACCGGTCAAACATGCACACTTCAACTTTTTCTTGCTGTTGCAAGATTCCTTAATATCTCCAGGTTAAGAATCCAAGTAAGGAATAGCAGAATGATGTATGCTTAAAAACAAAAGAAATCAGAGGTGCCTAAAGACATTTGAAAGGAAATATGCCCTTGTTGATAAGGAAAAGGTTTAAAATGGGCACTGTCAAAGTGATTCTATATTACAAATGATAAAGCAAGATGAGCATGCAGAATATAATTGTTAAAAAGAGATGACCCGGAAGGAAAGCGATATAAAAATGCGCTATAAAATGCGGTCATGAACATGGAGCTGATTGCCAAATCTGCAAATAAACAATTCCGATTAACTTGCACTGAGAACGAAAGCAAAAGGAATATTGAGAATGACCTCTTGCGTGGTCCACTCGAAAAAAGCCTTTTCTCCGAATATTCATGCTTGAAGCTTGTGGGTTTTTTAATGCATGTTGATGAGCAGGTTCACTGCATGAAGCCTTGGTCTCTACAAGTTTTCTTGTTAATTTAGAACGGGAAGGATTTATCTAATGAATAGAGTTAGGTGGTGACCAGCCAGGCACAACCACTCAGGATCTCATTTTAAATGCTTATGATAGAAAACGCAATTCTGAGATGCATTGGACAACTGGAATTGCAGCATATATATCATTAAATATGATTACTTCTTCAGGCACACATTATTATTTTATTAGAGATGCCGGACACCTGTTCAGGTACAAATACTAATCTGCAACTCCCTACATTAAAAAAACACCACATGAGACATAAATGAAACACACCACCAACTCATGCACATGTTGAGAGCACAAATTTTTAACCCCACCTTCCCAAAGCCAAATATCGAAGCAAAGAAGTTTCACATGGAAAATACTTTATAGGTTGGACCACATCACCCAGATAAAATAAAGGGCTAGAAAGGAAGGGCTTCTGTGAGCTGTGAATGCAAGGTGTCAAGACAGAGATGGGAGGACAACTAAAATAAATAGTTTCCAACAACCAACCTCAAATGGGAGAACAAACTGACATTCATCTACTTGACTTGGTTGACTGACCCACGGATAAACCTAAATAGCACACGTTTGAGCCTTTATCCAATATTTTCTCACAGAAAAGCATGATAATTGTGGCCAATAATGTCATCTTCCTCATCCTCAACAAATGAGCAGAGCACCACAAAAAGTCCAAACTTTTGCTTCACCTTCAAATCCAATGCTTCTGATACTGACATCGAGTGCAGCAAATACAAGTGATAATTTCTTTAAACGTGTTCCAAGGTGTACCTACTCTGTGAAAGAATGCTTGCACCTACCCTGTGCGATGACCAACACTTGCGCACTGCGCCTGAACAAACAACCAATACTTACATTTTTTTTTTAGGCAATTTTTCCTTGAGAAATGTCTCTACGACCACACTTATGACTGAGACAAAAGGTACAATATCTAAAACTAAAAAAATTTCATCTTCAGTATCTTGAGGCGGAAGGTAATGAAAGACACTTCCGTCTGGCGTTGCTCCGCCTTTTATTGTTTCAAATGTATGTTGCGTTGTAGCTGTAACAGCAAACGACATTTGGCAAGCGATATTTCAATTTCTTGCGTTGGCTATCAGAAAGCATTGTGCGTACCTCACGCATTGCAAGAAATGCTGCTAGGTGCTGTAAGAAATGGGGCACTTCCGATTATTCCTTAAGCTAGACATAAGTCCAAAAAGTATTTTAAAAATTCTTTCTTTTAAGTAAATTTCATGTTAAGATTGTGAAATTGAAAAGAAACTCAACAAAATCTATTGGCAGTTTGGAACTCCTCGTCTTACTTCATAAACTTCAGCTTTTGACCAATTCAACTTCCATCTGATTCGCAAAAGATAAACTTAAAAATTCACTTTACAGATTTGAACTCGCAAACACATGGTCAGCAAACAAGGCGCTTTCATCTTGGTTTCGCTCAGCGGCATCTTCGCAGGAGTCAAAACTTCGAGAACGTAAAACAAATTTTTTTCTATAAGCAAAAGAAAGATCTCGCCGAAATTCATGGAACTCGAAGCGCTCCACGCGTCCCAGCATTACGGTCGTTGACCGCAGTCAGACAACAATCAAAGTCGACGCCAAAGAACAAACACCCATCGAAAGATTCTTTGCAGAGCCCAAAAGAACAAAGAGACGAAAGAGATGAAAAGCCGATAAGGAGAAGGGCGAGACGTACTTGGGTCCGTAAGATCGCCACCCTTTTCGTCTTTCGCGGAAACGCGACGATCTTTCGAAACCAAACTCAGGAAGTCCCTCTCCATCTCCGCCGCGCAAGGACAAAAGCTCGCCGAATCAACGCAAGTTCCCTTCTTGAACCGCAGAAACCTCCCGAAATGCGAAGATAAATCTTGAGCAGCGAAGACGAAAGATCCGATTCTTGCCGCCTCAGCTGTCCGAGGGAAGCAGAGGAACGCAAACGAAGTACAGAGTGAAGAAGAAGAAGAAGAAGAAGAAGAAGCAGAGCAATTTGGCTTTCGGAGTTGTCGTGAGATGTGGACGGTCGGATTTGTGCCAATTTTGGTGGGTCGGAGTTTGGTCAACCGGCTGCTCCGGTCGAGGCAACCGGCTGCTCCCGGTTGCAAACCACGTGCGGAAACGCACCGAGAAAGCTCGAGGCCCGCTTGGGGTTTCTCTTCGGAGCAAGTATCGGGTGCACTCGAATCATGCGAGCGCGGCGTATCTATCGTTACGTGGGTCCGACGCGGAACCCCGCCTCGTCGAATATTACATGTGAGTTAGGCTCGTATGCACCGAATACTGCTAAAAAATTTTATTTTCCTTTGTTTTATTTAATACTAGCTCTCACACATGGCAAGATATGATAGGACCAGATTTCGTCACGAGGAAAGACAATCAATTCGAATCCACACGATCAACTGAATTAGATGTGCTCCCCGATAGATCCGATCACACCTAGCGATATGGATCTGTGAATCGGGTGCACATAATAATAATAATGTCTCGCAAAAATGGTCCCGAGGATTTAGATGAAATACTTTTTGGTCTTTTTTTTTTCTTTTTTAAACTTATCAATTTCTAGGGAACATTTATCGGGGCGTCTTTACGGGTACAATATTTAATTAAAGGACGTCATAACGATGTGGGTTTTCTTTTGAAATAATTAATACCGAATATCGAAATAACACGATATATGAAAAGGTTTCAATGAAAATTTGTGATTGGTCTGTTGTACTTGTAATTCAACGGCTACCAGCTCTCAAAGAACAATTTTGCAGAACAATAAGATTGCCCAATTTTGCTTAACTAGCATGTCAAGCACAGAAAAAAGAACCATTGATTAGGTTGTATTTATAAGTTAGTCCTGTTTTTTTAACATAACTAGCTCACTTTTTATACAAGTTTTGAAATGGTCCGCCTCTATTAAGTCGACGCACATATGATATACGCGACGGTTGCAAATAAGACTATCCGAATTTGTTATATAAAAAATGAGATAATCACGACGTTACGTACAACTAATTTGCATTGTACCACGACATCTTCCGCATCGACAAAACAAATAGAAAACTTCAGGACATCTTCTCTCCTACATATTTATATAAACACATAAATATTCATATATTATGCATTTCGTTACATAGAAATTTCCTAATGCTCTACCGGTCCATCATCATCCTAATATACTAATGTTTTTCTCCCTCCAACTAAGAAGTCTATAAGCTAACGTGCGTAAACAACATTGCTAGTGTTAAACCAATCATAGAGAAGTCAACGTTGCCTCCATAACTTGAGAAGCAAGAGTCCTAAATCCATCACTATAATAATCACCCTCACAAGCCCCATGTGAATGTCCTTTCACTTGCACACTTTTATGTGGCAATTGCACATGCAAAATCAAAAGGCAATTTAAATAACCAAAAAAACAAACGTATGAAATCGCACTGCTTTTTAATTACTTTCGAGACCATTAAAAAGATATTCACAATCTAAACCCCCCCTCACAAGATTTCTATTTATAAATAAAATCAATTTTTCTGACCATTCTTTGTGGCATCTTGGGGTTGCCAAACAAATAGAAAACTGGCCGTCCATGCAAAGTGACAGCTCAACCTCTTGTCCTCCCACCAAATCGAGCAAAGAAAAGAAAAGAAAAAGCAAAGCACAAAACAAGAAGTAATAAATTTATCTCGAAAAAGGCATGGAATTAAATTCTTTTATTTGCCAAAAAGAAAAAAGGGGTACAAATCTCATGGGCCAAATGACACATACCTTAACTTTTTTGTGTACACAAACCGACTTTCTTTTTGTGACATATTTACCCATGTATTTAGTCCATGGGTATTTTCGTCTTTTGCTTTTTCTTTTTTTTTTTTTTTGGTTTTTGGTGTTTATAAAAAAGCAAAGTTAGGGTTTTGGTGTCGCAAAAAAAAGTTCGGGGTAAATGTGTATGAGATAGCGAAGTTTGGGGTTTTTGATGGTTTTTCCCTAAATTTATCTCGAAAAAGGCATGGAATTAAATTCTTTTATTTGCCAAAAAGAAAAAAGGGTACAAATCTCATGGGCCAAATGACACACGGACCTAAAAATGTTTTTGTTCTTTTTTGATGCGAACAACGTTTGGGGTTCCTCCCTCACGTTCTCCCTCTCGCCCCCTTTGAAGAAGTCCCCTTCGTGTGTGGTCCAAAGCTGACAACGTGACAAGATTCAAAGCGCCCTTTTGCACTTATGGTGAGTTTTTTTTTTTTTCCCAATTAATTTAATGAGCATGTGGGGTGGCACAAGAGGGGACCAAAAAAAAAAAAAAAAAAGAGGAAAGAGAAAGAAAACGATAAAAGGCTAAAATAAACGAGGTCGAAAAATTGAAAAAATAATGGTCCCCGGACCCACTTCTTCTTGCCTAGGGGAAAGCCTTCTTGTGAGTAGAGATATCAATGCCCAATTACTGCATATAAAACTGCAGTGTGGAGTTGGAAGGAACAAATGAGACAACGGAAGAAGGGCAGAATCGCGGGTCTAATTCCCTAAAAAAATCCTAAATTTTAGGCTTAATTTGATTTTGTTTCGAACTTTTTTGTTTGGAAGAAAATCTCAAATTTTAAGTTCGGTCCAAATCTACCATGAACTTTTTTTTGTCTGAAAATCTCAAATCTACTCAGAATTTTTTTTTTGTCTAAGAGAAAAATCAACAAATTTTACTTTAGTTCCACATCTGCCTCCATTAGACATCTGTCCAAAAATTGCCGTTAGTCGTCCCTAATTTTCATATCCTAGAACGATTTCATTTTTTAAATAATTTTCTATGTCACCTTACCGATATGGATTTGTTATCGGTGTGGAAATATCATGTCAAATTGGGAATGAACCATGGGAGTAAATTTGAGAATAGATCGAAATTAAGTGATTTCTTTTTTGGACAAAACAAAATTCGGGACAGATTTGAGACTCAACATAAAGTTTGGGTTTTTTTCTGATAGAAAAAAAAGTTCGAGATAAACTTGGAACTAGACCTAGAATTAAAGGTTTTTTAGGGAATTAAACCCAAGAATTGTGTAAAACATGAAAATGCATGGATTGTTGTCAAACGTGAAATGTGATGATTAAACAAATTGATTACATGATGTTTTGCCAGAATTTACGTCAACGACAAAATACCTTTCACCGCTGTCGTTCTTTGGTTTTTATTAAATGAGACAGCTTCTGTGGCGATTCCGGATAGAAACTATAATGGGTACACAAGAAAATCGGTATTACTTCAATGAAATTTAATCAACCTTAAAGTACACAAGATAAAGATCCAATGCCATAAATTTTTTTTTTGGTAAAAAACAATGCTATAATTTAATCGACGACAAAACACCCACAAAATATAGCAAAGATATACATTGGATTTTAGTCGACGACGAAGTATTTGGAACCTATAGCTAATATATACGTTGAAATTTAATATACTACGAGATATTTGGAAATTACAACTATGACTACGAAATAGGAATTGAAAGACGACAGAATTTGTTTGTTTTTGTGTGGGGGGCTCTATAGTACACAAACTAGTATTTATAGTGTTTGCAACATGATTGCATATAAGCAGTTCTTTAGTAGTTTTAGCCACACCTTCACATCTCTAAGGCTTTCGGTTCCGTATTTTTACATCGCCGTGACTTCTTATCTCTAGCTGGTTACTAAATTCAGATAAATAAATAACTTCCTAATCCTATCTACAGTTACAAGAAATTACAATAACACTCATAAAAAGCTTAAATATCCGAATATTTAAGCTACTAGGCAGTTACACGTCAATGTCGATATCGATGATTTTATCCCAAATAACTAACATTTACTGTTGATAACTCCCTTAGTTGTTGATACTCTTTAAGTTGTCGACATTTATCTAAGAGAGCGTAAATATTCAAAAATATTGCAAGTCATCAAGTTGTCTACTTTTCTTTTCATTGATGACTTCTACTATTCACCGAACTTTACTCTCATTGACTAAGTCCATTACTTACTAAAAGTTGGTCATTTTTTTGTGTTGACCATTGGCAAAACGGCTTACGATGACTCTAGTAAGATTGAGAACTCTCAAGAAATGACTATGAGAATGATAAGTGTTCTTGACAGCCGTGGGTTTGATTTTTGATATACGAATATACGTCAAGAGGTCTAATTCAAAAGTTTATATTATTAGTTGAAAAGATCTATTATAGCTTTTCTTTAATTGATGCGTGAGATTTACTTTAATAATAGGAAAAAGTGTGATATAATTAGTTTTACGCTTCAAGCGGACAGATGTTCTTCACTTTGCCATTTTCGAGTCAAGGCCATAACAAAGTCACTTTGTCCTTAGCTTGTTTTTCTTGTTTCTTTCACTTTTGTGCATAGGGAAAATGACACAAATAGTCATGAACTTTGGCCCAATATGCATTTTGGTCCCTGAACTTTTAATTTGTTCAATGTAGTCCTAAACTTTAATCTAATGTGCAATGTGGTCCCGAACTTTTAATTTGTTCAACGTCATCCCGAACTTTTGGTATTTCATTAGTCCGAACTATATGAAAATGTTAGTCCTTTCCATTAAGAATTTTATATAGTTCGGACTAAATTGAAATGTTCAATGACAAATTAAAGTTCTTTCCATTAATTCTAAAGTTCGGGACTACATTGAACAAATTAAAAGTTCAGGGATCAAATTGCACATTGGGCCAAAGTTCGGAGACTGTTTGTGTCATTATCCCTTTTGCATATTGCCTTTTGGACCCTTTGATCTGTTGCACTGACTTTTGGGCTTTCGAAGCAGAGATGGGGCCAAGCTCAGGCCTGTGAGCAACATCGATCGAACTTCTCAATCCATCATCCATCACCCCCCAACCACACATGAAGTTTCTCTTTCAACTGCCCATTTTTAAGTAGATTAGATTGATTACTTCTTCTGTGCAAGATCTTTCACGGCTAGTCTTATCCACCTTTGACTTGAGATGAGCGAGAGAGTGAGCAAATATGGCAAAAGTAGATGAACCAGCCAAGTACTGTGATGCCCCCCAATGAGGTGCTAAAACTAGGTTTTTGCCTTTTGTTTATCTGACACCAAATGAAATACTTTACCAAACGTATCTATGTGGTATATGTTGATTAAATTTACATTATACTTGTGTAAGTAAATGTTATTTTGTAGATGCTGGTTATCTAAATCCCGCTAGTTATTTGGGGCTATATAAAGAAGTTATCATTTGCTAGAGTTTTGACGAGGTTGTACACCAACGGGCAATCGAGAAGCACTAGACCGTGCCTGTTCTTCTTTACGATCAGAAATTGAATGAGCCTTTGGCATATTAAAAAAGAAATGTCGTGACTGATACGGATTTTGAATGAGCAGATTTGGATCCCTATTATGGATATTGAGTTGACCCTGATGATGTAGAAGAATGGGCGAGTGCTTCAAATGATAATGCATCTCCTGACATGGCACGTTTACGTGATCACATAGCCATGAGTTTAGGAAATAGTTGAGGAGGTTTGTAATTTTAAGGATAACGTATTTCTTTCCTCGAGACATACGTGACCATGTTAATTATAATGAAAGTATTCTCTTGTTCATTAAGAAGATCCACTTTGATGTGATTTTTTTACTTATAAATCTGTTAATACGTGTCTTTTATATTACTCTCAACACAAAATTATAAAAGTTACGGTCATTGTTATTTTTCAATTTAAAAAAAAAAATTAAAAAACTTAAATTGGTCGCACTAAAGAACTTTCTAAATATATATCTATCAAACGGCATTTCTGTTTAAAGTTGCTTCCCAAACATTTTTCAATTACAGTTTACAAAATAATTTTTACTTTTTATGAAAATCCTACAAGCTAAAGACTATTGAAATTCCCCAAAGCTTTCTCCAAAAGCCCAATCAAAGGCAGCCAAAGACTACTACAGTTTTGCTAGACTCGGCAAGGAAAGCTAATGACTGCGATGATCCATCATCGGAAACCTCGGATCAAGTCTAGTTGGGACCTAGAAAAATAAATTCTTAGGTTGTCAGAATTTACTTTTGACTTTTAGTATAGGTATTTTGGTATCCCCAAGCTTTTATTTAACATGAAATTGTGGAAATTGTGAATGTGCTGGTGCAATTATATGAAAATCAAACAAAAGTAAGAAAAAATTACCATATATAAGTGTATTTGAATAGTCAGATCTAGTTAGACCTATCGCCTTTTTTAGTGAGACCTATTGTATTTACTGATCCCAATTCATTTTATCGCATGTCGCACTCACTGAATAGTGAGTAAAGTATGCACAGAGAAGCATGTTTCAAGGAAATTTTCATGAGGATTAGGAAGGGAACAGTGTCAAGACAATTATTTGAGGACCAAAAGATGTCTGCTGACTTTACAGCAACAATCCTCAAATTCTAAAAAGCACTAGTTTGGTCCTGAAAAGGAGCTCCTTTATACATCACTTTCATGATAAGCTCACTCATCTGTTTTTGTAAGCCCTCACCAGCTGTACCATTTAAAGCAATCAATTCAAGCCAGCCAGACACAGAAAGATTGTCGCGAAGAAAACCCAGCCAGCCAGCCAGCCCCTACTAAAGAATGTCCCGAAGAGATCTTTGCCAATGATGCGGTGAAACGGATCAATCAGATTTCAACAAAGTCGTGACCATGTTGTGAAGCTCACTACAAAGATATGTGAAGAAATAGACGCGAAACCAAGCTCTTATGTAACCATTTCAGAGACAATTATGCAAGCCAAAACCGACTTTAGCCGCAAACAGAGACATGTCTGCAGTCCCTCCACAATCATGCCTTGCCAAAGATTTTTTCGTTCATGTGTTCAATCAAAACCCTGCACTCACCTTCAAGTCTGGTAAGCACGAGACAGTTCAGTAGCAGTCGAGCCCATCTCGGTCTTACTTTATCCCGGAAAGAAAATAGGTGTTTGGGGAACCAATTCCACTGAGAAAACACTAAGACCACTTGCTAAAGTGACTCTGCTGGTGAAAGAAAAAGGTTTGAAAAGGATTTGCATCAGAAGCAAAAGCGGAAGTCATAATTACAAGATCCATGATACATCCCACAAGTGAAGCACCGAAAAAACAGTAGACTATGCCTGAGGTGAATTAGGGGAGATGTAATTTTCCTTCTCAAGAAAATGCAGGCGTAAAGATCGACTTCTTCTTACAACCTAAGAAGAAACTATTGACATGCTAATCAGGGGGCATTAAGACCATACATCACGGTTTGCTGGCAGTGGTGAGACCTGAGCGATTCACTGAGAAGACACGACCTCCACATCATCGACCTGATCGGGCAAGCTACGCCGAGACAACTCGTCGATTCTCCTCCTCACGTCCGGCATGGAAGGGCGCTGATCAGGAAACTGAGCCGCACAATCCATAGCCAGCTGCAGGAGGTCGACCATCTCCTCCTCCACGTTCTGGTACCTTAGGAGCTCAAGATCAAAAACCTCCGAGCTCCATTCCTCGCGAACCACCGACTGAACCCATCTTGGAAGGTCGATGCCTTCCTCGTTTAAGACAGAATTGGCAGGGGCTTTCCCAGTTAAAAGCTCCAAGAGCAGCACACCGAAGCTATAGACATCAGCCTTCTGGGATACTCTGCGAGGGTCCGTGACTTCTGGTGCACGATAGCCAGCGACACGGGTGGGAGCCACTGAGGGGCCGACAATGTGAGCCAGGCCAAAATCTGAGAGGCGAGCATTGTAGGATTTGGTTAGGAGAATGTTAGATGATTTAATGTTTCCGTGAGATACATAAGGTCCTTGAGAATGAAGGTATTCAATGCCACAGGCAACTCCTAGGGCAATGCTGGAGCGTAATTCCCAATTCAATGGAGTTCTTCCTGCCCCTCTGTTTCCTGCAGCATTTAATTTAAAAAATTCAGTAAAAAATAAAACAATGCAAAAGATTGAGTAATGGAAGCACAAATTTGTTATTCTTCCTTGTATTACTAGACTTTACCAATCTCCTACTAAGACTCTGAAGAAAATGATTTTTTGGAGAAGGATTAGACTAGAAGTAAATCTTGGGAATCAAATGCTTGGGGTCATCAAAGAGTTTGATCACATGACATTGCTTCCAACCAATTACAAGAAATAAAAGCCGCTTAAATTTGAAAATATAAGGCCATTAGGTTAATAAGTGCATCCAGAAGGAACTAATTCAATCTGTGGAGCAGTCCAAGTAAACACTGGGGCAAACTGACAAAAACCTTGCGCCAGTTCTACCTATCGATATTTCTTCAGCATGCTTATGATCCAAATAAGAACACAATGAACCTCAAAAATATCATAAGGATCATCATGATAATAGTGTCGAAAATACTCTAAACTAAAGGGGACATTAAGAAACAGAATTGCTTACCATGTAATAGAGCAGATAGGCTTCCCATGGGCATGTAATCGTAGACCAGAAGCTTCTCGTCGTTGCTGTAATAGTAAGCCCGTAGAGGCACTAAATTCTCGTGATCCATCGCTCCCACGGCTTCAATCTTTTCCTTGAATTCGCCCACTGAAATGTTCACATCCTTAAGCCTCTTTACCGCAACCATATTTCCCATCTCCAGGACCGCCTTGTAAGCCGTCCCGAACATCCCTTTCCCCAAGACTTCGGCCGATGCCCTCAGCAAGTCCTCCAAATCAAAGGTCTTTGCCGTTTTCCCAAAGAAAACAAGTTTCTTTGCCCCGCCACCATTTGCTTCTTTCCTTCCGGTCGGTACAGTCATTGCAGCAGCAGCAGCAGCCGCCACAGAATATTCGCCATTAAACTCGCCAATATCAGCATCACCATATGCCTTTTCGCCCTGAAGCACCATCTCTTGTTGCTTGAGCACGGCCATGTCAATCGACCTTGTCCTCTTGCTACCTCTCTTGCGGCACAAGAATATCACCAATATGACAATGAATATGAAACCAAACACGCAACCGATGGCAATGCCGGCGACAGCAGAGCCAGAAAGCTTCTTCCTTTTGCCTTCTTCACCACTCTCACCCCCGCTAGGTCCAATACTAGGCAATGGGACATCTTTCGGGCATGAAACAAGTGGTTTTCCACATAATGAATTACCCAGAAAGGAAGCCGAACTAAACTTGTGTAAACCATCAGGAATTGATCCATTAAGCAAATTATTTGAAACATTGAACTGCTGGAGCTTTGGCAGGCTCAGCTCAGCAGGAATCGACCCAGAGAGCAAATTGTGCTCGAGGAACAGAGTCCTGAGCCTAGTCAAGTTGCTGAAACCCTGAGAAATTCCCCCAGAGAGATTGTTGGAGGCAAGATTGAGCCTCACGAGCTGGCGTAGACCCAACAGAGACTCGGGGATCGGGCCAGAGAACCGATTACCTTGCAAGTACAGGTTGCGCAAGCTGGTGCAAGAAGCGAGATCTGCAGGGATTTGGCCAGCGAGCGCGTTGAGCCGGAGCGAGAGAGTCCTGAGCTGAGTCAAATTGCCGAGAATGCCGACCGGGATTCGACCAGAGAGCGAAGCTCCGGGAAAGCGAAGAGACGTAACTCGGCCGGACTCGCATTGGACGCCTGCCCAAGAACAGGGGCTTTGCTGGTTCGCGTCCCAGAGGAGCGTCCGGCCACCGAGCGAGGATCTCAGGGCAAGAAGCGCATTCCTGTCCGAAGCAAGGTCTTGCTCCGTCACGGGGAGCAAGAATGAGGCGATAATGGTGAGCGCAACCAGGAGGGTTCTGTGCACTTGCATGGTTTCAAGAAAATGAACAAGAAGAAGAAGAAGAGACTCTTTCAAGAAATGGAAAGAGACCAAGTTCCTGAGGCTCTTCAGGGAGTGGGAACACTGGGAAGAGAGAGGTCGCGAGGATTAGTGAGCTGCATTTTCCTGCATTCTCTCAACTCTCCGTCCGTGTGTGCTTTTGTGGATGAGAGTGAGGAGTCCGGGCAGGTTTGAAGAAGACAGATAATAACACCATTAAAAGGCAGTTAAAAGAGGGGAGAAACCCTAGCTCGACATCGTACTTCAGCTCCACTGACGGTCAAACTCAACTATACACATTATCTCCTTTTCGCCTCTTTTCCATCTTTTTGCCTCTCCCTCTCCAACTTCACGTTCATGTGCCTTAAATGCTTTGAGGTCTTTTTCTTGGGTTTCGCCGAACAATTAGGTGTTCATCTTGTGGTCTCCGGTTTGCAGTGTAAACAAGTTTCGTTTAGTCTTCCTTTTTGCAGTCGGCTCGAATTTGAATCATTGTACTTATGCTATCGTTTCGAATTATCACTATATATAGAAATCAATATATATATATACACACATGCATAAATTAGAGTCCGCCGTATCAATTAAGATTGTCTATCCGAAACTCAAAACTCATCATAAAATCTATCATCATAAAGAATATCTATATGATGAAACTAAGCATGAGATTAACCAATCATAGCGCGAAATTAGGAAAAACTATATTTAATGTCATAAAGTTCTTGCTCAGCTATCCATTTCATCCTTTTTAAGTAGGGAGAGATGGCAAGAAAGACCCCGTATCCTACAATGAGAACAGAGCGAGGAAAAGAAGAGTCCCACGTAAGTAATCAGAGGGTGGAGCAATAACTTAAGACCTTTCTCTCTTTGTGAGAAAAGGCAATTTATAATTTTTGGTGGCGGGCGATCCATAACTATTCAATAAAATAAAAATTAGTGCCTCATTTTTTTGCGCATATCTATAATTAATATCATAAAATTCAAGATATTTCTCATCGTGTATTCCGAGGCGCTCAATAATAAAAAATTATTTTAATAAATGATTCGAAAGAATTGCTTAAAAAACAACAAGATCCTCAATCGAATGGCATCAAATATGAAATTTAATTTGGTTCATGGGAGAAAATTCCTGATCTTGCTCAATTTCGGGGAAGGATTTGTATAACGGCTACTGAGTATCGTCACCACGTCTTCCTCTGGAGGTATCTCATTTTAAAATAAAAAATGTGTAAGACAAAAACAAATATAATATCCTTTCTGTTGTTTTCTTCCTGATAACAAACGTGTCGGAGACACCGAAAGAAAGACGAGAGTTTAAATACTAACGTATGTTTTTGTCGAATCTTCATCATTTCTTTTTTCTTTTTGGTATTTCCTATGTAATTACTTCCTAAACCAAAGACTCCAAGGTGAGCATCCCAGTTGCCGTTACGGTTACCAAAGACAAAAGTTTCTTTTTTTTCTTTTTAGAGCAAAAAAAACTTTCCCACAACTCGTGCAATTACCGGAGATGCGTGGGTAATTTTTTTTTTACGCTTCAAGAGCTTTTTAGTTAATTATTGTGTCTTTTAATATATTTTTTCCTCGTTGTATTCATTGCGGGCCGCGACTTAAAAGAAAAGATCATTAGCAGTTTTGGAGGTTCCTTGTGCACAAGTATGGACTAGAACCGAAGTCTCCTTCGACATCAACGTGAGAGCTAGCTCTTTTCGACAGAGAGTGATTATAGTTGAGAGAAACTTACAGAGGAAACGCTCAAGGACTGGACCCACTTTCGAGAACTTCTTTCTGTGTGTGAAGGTAAGGACTAAAGGCTTCGTTCAGTCTTGTGTTGGATGAATTTCGTGGTTGAATGCCATATCTAGCAGCACAATGGGTTTCACAGCTCAAAGACAGGTTGGGGAGACATGCCTTAACGAAGCTAGCTCGAGAATACATCAGATTTTCATGTGTAAAATTGTCCCTCTAGACATAGCTATGGAGGTGAAAGGATCATGTCGGAGACCATCAAACTTTTGAGTTGGATGGTGGTTTGGTTGATGTATAGACTTGCTTTCGGTTTTAGTATGGGCTTAGCGGTGGTAGTGGCCCTGACCCTGACCCTTCCCCGGACTTTTGTAATGTGTTGTATACATTTGAATACCGTATCAAGTCGGTAACTAGTGATGTTAATAATAATAAGTATATGCATATTAAATGCACTCGTGCGATTATCTTGTGGGGGATGATGTGAATGTTTTATGTTGAATTTATGTCTCGAATTTGAGCCGTTTACGGAACTCGACCCGATCGGATGAATATCCAAGTTTGACAACAAAATGAAAATCAAGAGTTGGACTCACCTTTGCTTAAGGTTGGACGTGAGAGAGAAGAAAAAGAAAGAGAAAGCTCTCATGTACTACAAGACAAAAGTAATGGGTACACATATTCTATAATCTATATATAGGGTGCGTTTGGTTCAGCATCCCCAAGGGGCTTTGGGGGGTTGTAAATACCTTTAACTTAAAGCCCATTGGGGAAATGCAAACTGCGTTTGGTAAAAAATTCTTTGTGAAACTACTTTGGCCCAAGTAGTGTTTCGCAAATCTTATTTTGCAAAGGGCTTTGGGATTTTTTTTATTAAAAAAAAAACTTACGCTTCATCAAAGCTGGCGATGGCCATGGCCAGATCTGGCTCACCGGTGGTCGTAGCCCATTGCGCAACCCACCGGTTGTCACCTGGGGTCATGTGACCCTAGGTGGCCGTCGTGAGGGTCGAGCGACCTCGCCGGCCTCTTGCCGGCGTTTCGCTATCCTGATTTGGCCTCGAGCGGCTCTGGTCGACCCTCAGCCCAAAGAAGATGAATAGTCATAAGGGGCAAAATTGGAATATTGAAGAATTAGTGAGGGCAGTTTGGGAAGAAAAAAATTGATTTCAGCATTAGGCAAATGCTGAAATTTCAAAGCTGGTCCAGACCAACCTTGGGCTTTTAGCATTTCCAATGCTAGCTTTCGGTCGAAAGCTCATTGGAAATACTTGCCAAATGCCTCAGTATTTCCCTAAGGGGCTTTCGAGGCCGAAAGCCCCTTGGGAATGCTGAACCAAACGCACCCATAATAGCCCATGTGGTGAGTCCAAGTCAAAATAAGTAAAATTATTGACCCTATAAAAGAAGGGCAATTAGGGCGTCGGTTCTTAAGAAGAGAACACAGTAGCCGCCTCCTTCCTTCTTGAATAGTAGTTGCATAGTGAAGAAAATTTGTGGGTATCTTCGGTAGAGAGCATAAGCGGCCGCAAGAAGAAGAAGAAGAAAGAATGTGAAAACTTTCTTGTTTCTGGCCAGATGTGAGTTCTTGCTTGATCTTGAACTTCCGGAAATTGTGCTGTAAGTTATACATTCATTTGAGTTGTTTATTACTAAACACTTGGGGTTTTGGTTTACTCTAAGTGCGGGAAACACTCGAGTGTTGTGAGCGTTTGTTGTAAATTTGGATTTTCCGATTATAGTGGATTATTTGGTGCTGACTCTCCCCATGGATGTAGGTACCGATACGTCAGACCGAACCACATAAATATCGCATGTCCTTTATTGTTCATCATTATTTCTCTGGTTATATTCGCGTTAACATAAATTGTAAGATCCCGGGCTTGGCTTCCGCGTTGGTTAGTATCACAACAATAGGTATTAGAGCTTGAGAATTGGATTTTCTGGATTGTGATTTGGGGCTTTTGCTTGTCTCATTATTTTCTGGAAATTCTATTGTTGCAATTATGTTTGGGGCGAAAGTTGAAATTGAGAAGTTTAACGGAAGGAACAACTTTGGATTATGGGGTATTAAGATGGAGGCGTTATTAATAACTCAAGGTTTGGCCGAAGCATTGGAGTGCAAGGATAAATTGCCCAAATCAATAAAAGATGCTGAAAAGGATGTGCTAATGAGAAAGGCGATGAGTATAATCCTGTTAAATTTGTCGGATGAGGTATTAATTGAAGTGGCCGAAGAGAAGGATGTCGCAGTATTGTGGGCACAACTTAAGGCACTTTATCTGATGAAGGGTTTAAACAATCGCTTATACATGTTGAAAATGATGTTTTAGTTTCGGATGGTTGAAGGCACATCCATTAGAGCCCACTTAGATGAGTTTAACAAACTCATGATGGACTTGAAGAACGTCAATGAGGCCTTGCATGATGAGAAACAAGGAATGATGTTGTTCGCATCTCTACCGGATTCTTTTAAGCACTTTATAGATTCATTGCTACAGGGTCGTACTACGATTACCTTAGAAGAGGTAAAGTTCGCATTGTTTTCTAAGGAGTAGCAAAAGAAGTTGTGAGAAGATAACTTAGCGCAAAATACGGCGCAATGTTTAGTTATCTGGGGTAGAGATAGATGAAGAGAGTCTGGAGGTAATAGATGGAAGAATCGTTCCAAATTGAGGTCTAATGTTCGGAACTGTCGATGTTATCACTGCGACGAGGTAGGGCATTACAAGAGAGATTGTTCGAAGTACAAGGGTAAAGGAGTTAAGATAGAGTCTGCAGGCGATGGTAATATTGTTACCACAATAGATGATTGTTCTAGCGATGTTGATGACGTGTTAGCAGTCACCACGAGTTTATCAAGTGATGATTGGGTGCTTGACTCTGGATGTTTTTATCATGTGACTTCTCATAGACACTGGTTTACTACCTATTAGTGCACGGACGGTGATAAGGTGCTTATGGGAAACGGTGCTTCTTGTGAAGTGGTAGGGATCGGAACAGTTCAGATTAAGATGTATAATGGGGTGGTGCAAACGTTGATAGGTGTAAGGCATGTACCGAAGCTGAAAAAAAACCTTATCTTGTTCAATTCTCTTGACAAGTTTGGATATCGGATTTTTACTAAAGGTGGAGTTTTAAAGGTCTCTCGAGGTATGCCTACTATGATAAGAGGGAAGATACATTGCGGGTTGTGTTTACCCCAGGAAAAGACAGTGATTGGCTCATCTGCTCGATTCTCTGAGGTTTCAGGTGAGGACACATCACGGTTACGGCATATGAGACTTGGACACATGAGTGGGAGGGAGATGATTGTTATAAGTCAGAAGGGTCTACTAGGAGGTCATCGAATTGAGAAGCTGAATTTCTGTGATCACTGCGACATGGGTAGTCAGCGGAGAGTGAAGTTCAGTGCGGCAGTTTAGCGTACCTCGGAGATTGTAGATTTGTCACGCCCCGATCCCCACGAGCACGCAACATCCCGCCTAGGTCATTAAGTATGCGACATCCCATGACTTGTCGCCGACCCAATCGAATCACAACAATAACGCAAGCGGAAGCAAACTCGAACTCACCATACAACATACAATTAA